AGCAGTCCGCGCACGGAAGGAACGCAAGGAGCAATGGCCACCGAGCACATGGCAAAACAATGGGAGGCAAGACCGTAGGTCGTTTGCTGCGTGGACGGAGAGAAGACGGAAGGGGAACTGCCTCCGTCCACGCAAGAAGTGACGTAGGGCACCGGAAGTGACGTAGTGCGTGGATAGAGCCTTATCTCCTCCCGACGTGGCTACATCACTGATCTCTATGTCTATTTGCTGGATCGCGTTTGACCAGCTCCTCCTATGGACCGGAATGCGGTCACTGGCGGCCATCTTTAGGTAGAGTTATATCATCTCTAGCCATCATAGTAATATGGCGGACAGCGCAATGGCGGCAGGCTGCCATAAAAATAGCCGTAGATCTAGTACACTGTACCGTGGGTGACATTTCGTGCTTGATTGAAGTTGTTCGACGAAGCAGATTCTTTAAACCCGGCGTGAACGGTAGCCTCATCTTTGAGGACCCGGCAAAAGTTCTACGAAAGCGCAGCACCGGGGGAAAGCAGCGCAGCTCGCATCAAAAGCAAACTCCGTACCGTCGTCTGCTTTCGATGCTTCTTTCGATGCGACTTTCGATACGTGCTGTGCTGCTTTTCTCTCGGTGCTGCGATTTCGTAAAACTTTTACCAGGTCCTCAAAAACCGGACTACTGTTCACGCCGGGTTTCAAAAACATGTTTCGTCAAATAATTTTAATCAAGCACGCAATATCACCCACGCTATTTTGACCGCAGCCTGCCAACCCACCTGCCAAAACGCTATCTGCCATGGATGGATGATAGCGGCTGCAGCAGCTTACATTGGCTAGAGGTGATATAACTCTACCTAAAGATGGCCGCCAGTGACCGCATTCGCGGAGCGGGCAAACGCGATCCAGCAATTGTCATAGAGATCCACTGATCTCAATGACAATTGCTGGATCGCGCTTGCCGCTCCCGCAAGTGAAGCCACCGGGCGTCACTCGCTTGGGATACGATTTGCCGTTTTTGCTAGCCTTTGCTGCGGTTTTCCAGCGTGCTGACGACACGTTTTCTACTCGTTCGTCGTCATTCGCCGAAGAAGTTTTTTAAAGACTCTGTGTATTGTTGAGACTTTCCGTTGTGAACACGTGGAAAATTTTACGAAAGTGCACTGTCGCAGGAAAAAGGCACAACGCGTCGAAAGAAAGGGCTGGCGGCGTGTTCAAAGCATCCTTGGCACGCCGAAGTGCCGTGTCTCTGTGCCTTCGCGCGCTTGGATACCGACCAAGAACCGACGCCGTGTGAATGTGTTTAGCGAGTGCAATGTGCGTGAAGCCGTATCAAAAGGTACAACTCATCGAAAACGTGTCGCCGGTGTCGCGGCGTGATCAAAGCTTCCTTGGCACGCCGAGTGATGCATCTTTGTGCCTTCGCACGCTTGGATACCGGTCAAGAATTGACGCCGCGCCAAAGTTCTGAACGTGTGTCGCGCGTAGATGCCTTTAGATCATTTATATATATCGGCCACGGAGTTCTGGATCGTCCAGCTGTTCCGGTGAGTTGCTATCAATAAAAGGGGGAGATCTGTACGTATTCTTATGTACTATATTAACCATGGCTATGTCCCAAATCTACTCTAATAGATTCCGTGGGAGCACGAATAGGGCAACGTTGTACGTGGAGCCAGGGGGGTTTTCGAAAGCAAATGTACAAGACGGCGAGAATGAAAATCTTTGAAGCGCGGCCGATATGGTCGTGTGCAATCTGTTGACCAATTACAATTAGGCGAGTCGCGTAGGTTGATAATAAGCCAGCACTGATCAGTGATGAGGAGCTGTTGTGCACGGTATTGTGTAAATCGTCTAAGGACGAAAAAAAGACGTACCTTCTCCCCATCTCCCGTCGCTAGTGGACGCTGGATTAAGCTCGTTCCTAAACCGCGAGGGGAAAAGACGCTGATCCAGAGGCACGAACAGCTTCACGCACATTGCACTCGCTGAACACATACACACGGCGTCGGTTCTTGGTCGGTATCCAAGCGTGCGAAGGCACAGAGACACGGCACTTCGGCGTGCCAAGGATGCTTTGAACACGCCGCCAGCCCTTCCTTTCGACGCGTTGTGCCTTTTTCCTGCGACACTGCACTTTCGTGAAATTTTCCACGTGTTCACAACGGAAAGTCTCAACAATACACAGAGTCTTCAAAAAACTTCTTCGGCGCATGACGACGAACGAGTAGAAAACGTGTCGTCAGCACGCTGGAAAACCGCAGCAAAGGCTAGCAAAAACGGCAAATCGTATCCCAAGCGAGTGAAGCCCGGTGGCTTCACTTGCGCTGCAGCGAACAAGCGGGGAAGCGCGATCCAGCAATTGTCATAGAGATCAGTGTAGAGATCAGTGGGCTACATCCCCGCGCGTGGATGTAGACACTCCCTAAAAGAAAAGTATTTCCTACATAAAAAATTCCCACTGCTCAACTAGGCAGTGTTCGATAAAATTTCATTCAATGAAACTGCTTCGATGAAACGGCGTTTGATGAAATGTTCGGACAGTTGCTGCAATTAATTTCTGCTGCAGCAAAAAATTAAAACTCGCGTCGTAACAACTGTCACAAAAAAAAAAAAAAAAAAAAAACCTGCATATAAACGTGCCGATATACACATCTGGAAAATCCTAGCTCTAGACAAAATAAATGATCTCTGATCACCTATAAATTTGTCAAGCCTTCAGGTTATGTAGTGACTCCAACTAACTATAGGTGGCGCAACTCATTTTTCAAAATGGCGGTTATAGTGAGGGTCAGAGATGCGTGCCGCTGTCGAGCCTGTCTAGTGTGATGGCCTCACTGAGCGACACAAATTATTTCTGGTAATACGAGGAAGCTAGGGTGTTATAAGCGCAGGTCACCTCTTCATCCTGAGAACAAAAACGGTGTTTACCGTAATATTTACGCAATGATGCGCGTTTTAATTCTGGAGTGAAACCGAAACTAACCTCTATTTTGAATTTAATTTCTTGATATAGGTCTTGCTTTCGGATCCTTAACTCAAGATGTGTCCCACATGGTAATTATTTAGATAGAGAAGTTGTTCGCGGAAACTTCATTTTGTTACATACATGTTCGGTCCAGGCTGATATTTGTAGTTGTTGAAGAAATCAGTCCTGATATTTGTGCGTTCTCGCTCAAATAATTGTCATGGAAAATAATGAACTGCGGGCCTTTTAATGGGTTTATGGGTATTTAAATAATTAATTGGTTTAACAGTATTCCCAGCACAAGAATAAGAAAATAATTCCAATTTTTACAATATGTCCACAAAACGTATAAATTAAGAAACGCTGTTCTCACCGAAACAACCCAAAGACGGTATCCGAGTCAGACAGCTGAAGTGTGTGTGTGTTTTTTTATAACAATGCGTGACGGCATAGAACTTTATATTACATTTGAAAACGAACGTGTAGGTTAATAGATACAAAACTTGAAGGAATGAAACAGAGAGGACGAGGACGGGAACAGGACATCTTTGCGTGAAAGTTGTCCTGTTCCCGTCCTCGTCCTCTCTGTTTTATTCTTTCAAGTTTTGTATTTTGTGACTTTATATTACATCTAGTGTTTGACTGTTTCTCTATCTTGATAAAGATGTCAGAGTTTTTCATATGCTAAAAAGAAAAACAAAAATTTATACATTTCTGGAAAGACTATTATGGCTAAATGGCGTATTTTTGTGATCTTGGCGTTAATTGGCCCCCAATTAACGCCAAGATCACAAAAATACGCCATTTAGCCATAATAGTCTTTCCAGAAATGTATAAATTTTTGTTTTTCTTTTTAGCATATGAAAAACTCTGACATCTTTATCAAGATAGAGAAACAGTCAAACACTAGATGTAATATAAAGTCACAAAATACAAAACTTGAAAGAATAAAACAGAGAGGACGAGGACGGGAACAGGACAACTTTCACACAAAGATGTCCTGTTCCCGTCCTCGTCCTCTCTGTTTCATTCCTTCAAGTTTTGTATCTATTAACCTACACATCGCGGCAACGTATGCCCCATACGTTGCCGCGATTTGTATTAATATTAATATATTAAAATTCATACGTAATTTTTAAGCTCTGATATAAGCTATTGCTTATGATCTAATTTCAAACGCGCGAACAAATATGACAATCAAAAGTGTGCTAATCATCATCATCGGTGCCAATTGCAGCATTTTTAATTACCAAATAATAAAATAAAAAAAAGTCTAAAATCAATGAAAACATTTTCGCTAATGTGAAAAATTAATGTAAAATTACATTAATTGTGGGTAAAGTATATTTTCCTATCAAAGTCGCGACTTTTAACAATCGGCAAAACGTCCAATGTCGCCGCCAATATCCTTCCAGACCAAATGCTCAAAAGTAAAAAAATTAATAAAAAACCATTTTTATTAGTTTTTTCATAACGTTTAGTTACTTTCATTTTTATGCTCCGTCGTTTTGCCTATCTCAGCCTTTCCAGTTCGAAGGAACGCCTACCTGCTTGCACGTCTGCTCACTGCAGCACGTTTCGTTGGCGTTGGAAGCCGCTGAAACAGTAGTCAGATTTAGTACTGCGTATACGAGCGAACGCAAGCGCTGTGCGTTTACGTTAGCTTTGCGTGTTCCACACTGCGCGTGCGCGGAGTCCGAAATAACGGTCTTAGATGGCGCATGGCGATGAGGCGCACGCACGTGGGGCACGCAACTCTAGCGCAAACGCACAGCACTTGTTTCTATGCGCAATACTTAAACTCTAACAAGTTACAATCCCATACCGGCTGTATAGCACTACGTTGGGACAATGAAGAGTGTTGTTTGCATTCGGAAACGGCGCTTCGCGAGCCATGATCGCGAGCAGTTCCGCCGTGCCCGCTGAGCAGAAGAATCGGGGGACCCTCACTAGAGCGCTTCCCGTTTCCGTCGCGGGAGGGCGAGCGTCTATAGCTGGAGGCGCGAATAGGTCTTGAAGGGCAAAAGACACTTGAGGAGCCACCAAAAGACAATTAGAAAATGTAATTTCTCCTTCATTGCTCCAACAGTTTTTTAACAATTGTATCATCTGCCTCCATCACCATGGCGGATCTCGGGAGTAATACAAAAAGCACATTTCATCCGATGCCTCCCAGTTGGGCCAAGTTTCGCAACTCAAGGGTCCTTATATATATTCTAGTTGTCTCGTGTTGCCGTCTTTACTTTGTCCCTGTCTTTTTGGTGCTTTTAGTGTGTAATGAAACTACAAGCCCAACTCATCATTTTGTTGCCAGAGCCAGAGAGACTAGAAAACTTTTAAAGAAATCTCAAGAATGTTTCTCACCCCAGATTGTCACAAATAAACACACAAGCCAACTAAAGAGTTGGTGGCAATGTGGACAGAAAACAACGCAAATTTACCCTTCTTCTGTGGCATGGGGCAAGGAAACTGAAGCAATTATAAAGATTAAAAAAAATATTACAGACGTTTACGATTCTCTGTAATGCAAAATTAGAGCGCAGCTCTTGAGGTATGTTGATATTGTGATATACCACGGTGGAGAATTTGAGATATATAAAATTTTTCTTGTTTTGTTTGAGGGTAGGCAAGGGAGGACAAGGAGGGTACGGCAAGAGCCCCACCCGCGCGGTGTTTGTTTCAACATAAAACGTCTTCGGCTAGTTGCTTCAAATTTCGTAAAGCCGCATCGTGAAGCCGTGGCCTGTGGCCTCACATAATGTCACAGTTTCCCCGCTAAATTTAGCGGGAAAATTGACGTCACGTGACCTCAGCACCAATTCAGTTTCCCTGCTAAATTTAGCGGAGGAAATGACGTCACATGACTTCATGTCACGTGACTTATACACAGCAAGTTTCTTTGCGAAATTTAGCTGGAAAAGTGATGCCACATGACCTCAACACCAATTGCATTATGGGACATCACAGACCTACACACCAATACAGTTTCTTCGCTAAATTTAGCAAGGAATTTAATTGGTGTATAGGTCTTTGACGTCCCATAATGCAACGCGCGCAATTACAGCGACTGCGACGGCGCCACCGCTAAACGCGGAAATGGGCACCTAAGAGCTGTGCTCTAAAAGATACTTTGCATGCAATACTGTCAGTGAAGGAGTTCAATATATCTAGCCATAAGGTAATGTTAAAACTAAAGGATCAACCCACATGCAAAAATAAACTGTAGTGTTTGTTTTCACTCCAAATCCTCCAAAAGGACATGCCTTAAAACAAATTTACCCTTGCGTCAGATGTATAAAATGACCTCGTAGGGTACCACCCAAAATACAAAGCATATATTCGAGAATTCCTACAGGCTAAATCAGAGTTATTTCAGGAACAAATACACGCTGTGGTCCCATTTTGAAACTGCCTTCATGAGGAAAGTGCTGATCTACGGATTTAAAATATGATCTCAAGTAGCAACTTAACAAAACCTGGATGCAGTGTATAGGTATACAGAACATGTGCAGGCCTTGAAATCATCCCTCACAACAGCTTCTCCAGTGTCGCATACACTTCCGCCGCCGACGCTCGCTTGTCCGGGTCCTGGACCGTGCATTTTCTCACAATGTCTCGAAGCTGCAAAACAAACAATCACCGCCTTGCAAAAACTGCTACCAAATATTCACTGTCAAATTTGTTTCACGTGACATGCCATGTCTTTATAAAAGTCTTGCTGCTTTCTAATTCAACTTTGCGTTGTAAGCCAAACTTCACTGACACAAATAAAAAATGATTTTGTTCACAGTCAACGGAGGTGACATGTTAGTGAGGGTTGTGCAACTGCCAAGAATATGACCGACCGTTCAATTAACATACTGGGTCTTCTGATAAAAGAAGCAGCATGCCTAAATCAATAAACAAGCAGATAGGTGCTTCAATCTATGCTATTTGAAAGTGACACAATGCTGGACGTTACACGAGGCGTGGCTAAAAGCTCTTCAATTTATGTACAACTATTTACAATAAGGCAAGTTCATTGTACCGACGGGACATTGGCAGAACACTGAGGCCGTCGAGTTTGATCTTCGCTCGAGCGTCTGCTCACAAGACTATTCTTTGTCGTCAACCTTAGTGTGCACTCCCACGCAAACAGAAACAGGATGCTGTCCGAGATGCCGCACACAGACCAATAAATACCAAGCAAATCCAATATTTTTTATTGACAATATGTGACAACAGTGTGATGAGCAATGTTGATCTCTTTATTTTTTCCCTTTGTACCGAACATCTTTACTGAGTCATACTTATCATTTCAAGTTAAGGTTAGCACCAGTGTTGCTGAGTTGCCATTCCGGAGTTGGAATGATTCCGGAATCGTTCTGTATTTTTGCGACCCCGGAATGGAATGGGAATGGAACGGCCGCAACGTTGAGGGAAATGGAATGGGAATGGAATTAGATGCCTATTGCCCGAAATAAAAAAAAATAAAAAATGGGCCCAATTTTTTTTTTTTTTTTTAGTGTTTACGTGTAATTAAATTGAGGCAGTCAGCAAGTCAGTTGCTCACAAATAAACTGAGTGGGAAACTGCTAGCCCACATGCAGCCCTAACAGACTTATACGCAAGAAAATGCAAATACAAAAAACAAGCGTCAAAGCAAAGAGCAGAGGCAGGAAGGGGGGTGGCGGTGACGCCTTTTACGGACGCGTAGGAGATGGGCCTAACCCGCGTTACACGAGAGCGAAACAAGAAACCAAGCAGCAAGCAAAAGAAACGAAGGGAGCGGCAAAGAAAGAAACCCCCATGCACGGCTCCTCATCAGCTCTGATAACTCGTTGACTCGTGCGCCGCTGAAAGATGATAGTTAGAGGAGTGTTGTTTAGCAGGCGGCCAACCCTGCTGCCTTCCACGTTCATTCGCACGCACTCCATCGAAGTGCGAAATGTGGGTTTGCTTCAGCATTAAAACAACGCGAGATTCACTTCTCTCTTCTCCTCCTGCGCTTTGCTCCGACGCTTGTTTATTTATACTGAATTTTTATGTGTAAGTCGGCCTTTTACTTAGTCTTTGTTCCGATGCTTGTTTTCTGTGTTATATGTTTTACATTCAAGTGGGTTAGGGTTACAAGCAAGCTAGCGGATTCTTGCTTATTTCCTTTGACTTGAGTCTCTGCATACTTTGTTTCACCTTGCGATGGACCGCTGTGGACGCTACAAGTGACCCCCGGCAATCCAGTACCGTGAGCAGGACTACGCGCACGACGCATTGCTGCGCCCCAGGGTAATGTGACACTCAGAAGGCACTGGATTGGTTTCGATGGCTCTCGTGCTGTCTGCTGCGGTGCATCATTAAGGTGAAGTAGACTATCGTCACCGCTCTTGTCGCGTGACCGAACTGACTATATCTGCAGAAGGACAGTTTCATGACATGGTCTATACGGTCCCTCGTGCTGCGCCGTAGAGGTTTCACTTTGTCAGAGGATGTGTTCTTGCCACTGTGTATGGAGTTGCTTCCAGCAGCGTACTAGCCGTGTTGCTGTACAGTAAGCTCGCGATAATTCAAACTCGGATATTTTGTACTTCCGGTTAATTCAAACTGATTTGAAAATTTTGGGTGTCCCGCTATGTATTTAATGCAGGGGTTTCAGCCACGGGAGCAGCTGAAACAGCTGTTTTGGAGCAGGTTGGGAGCAGCTAAAACTACAATCTGAAGCAGACTAGGAGCAGCTCAAATCAGTCATTGCACTTCAGCTTGTGTCTTAGACGAGCACAAGAACAATTTCAATGGTGCTTAGCAGCAGAGATAAACATGAGTGGTTAGGAACCTAGTAAGGTGGGATAACAGTGTAACAGACGCGAAATCTTGAAACGTTGTGAGCCTTAATGAGAACCAAAAAGCAAGTGCCACATGTTTCTGAAGATAGTGTCCTTAATATTTCCTGAGTGGCTTTCAGCTGCTCAAAATGCAAACCAGCACTGCTTATAGCACAACCTACACATGCTCGACATAGTAATTTTATGTGCGAACCACGTGACGTGCGTAAGCAACGGACGTGCAGTTGCGCGGAGGAGCAGGGCAACAAATTCCGAGTTTATCCCGTTGTACAACTCAATATCGAAGCAGCAGACTACGATTAACGGAGTTGTCGTATTCTAAGCGATAAGCAGGAGCAAGGTTAAAGTGCGCCAAGCAGATCTACCGCTCGCGTGAGAGCTGCTGGCCGGCAAGGTTTCGTATCGGACCGCGTTTCAGTTCAATCAAATCACGATTTATCTTGCAGGAATGCGGTTCCAACTTCTAACGATGAAGTACTAAAAGAAATCTTTTGCTCATTTGTTTTTAACTGGCTGACGTCCGGAACCCGGGCCGCAGAGCCTCAGGTAATCTGACGCTTAACGACTCGACCTCAACTCGGCCGACTTGCTTAACCGCTTATGGTTGAAGAATAACAATCCAGTCGCAGGTGGAATAACGCTTGGAATTGGACCCCCGAGTTTTTTTCGCGCGTTTCCGACATGGGAATCGGGATACACAGGAAGAATAAACAGAACAAACGATTGCAAGGCCGACCAAGCTAAACGCGCTCATATTTTCCAATCGAGTCGATAAAATCCGAAACCAAAACAAAATAAAAAATGTTTTGGCGCACGTTGAGCGATTTGGAGCATAATGGTTCGAGGTATTGGCTGTGGCGCAGTTTCCGCAAAATGGCGCAGGATGGCGCAGACAAATGCATCCGGCGCAAAATGGCGCAAATGGCGCAGCCGTTCCACCCCTGCAATGTATTTACACAATCCAGCGCCCAACTAACCCGCAAAGGTCGCGAACGACGCGCTCATAGTATGAGATTGTGCGGCGCGGTTCCGGTGACTGACTGCTGCGATAGGTCCGACAGATATCCACGACGCTCGTTTTCATGGAGGAGCAGAAACCATACGCAAATCTTACTAAGCCACTTAATTTGAACAGCGTTTTCGCTTAATTCATACTTTTTTTTTTTTTTTCTCGCGGCCCGTTGAGTGCGCTTCTTTCCGAGCACCGGTGCACCACAGAGAAGCAACACCCGCGGAGCTTGCTTTTGCGAGTGTTGCTTCTCCGCACTGCACCTATGCTCAGAAAAAAGCGCACTCAACGGGGCTCAAGCGGGCACACATTAGCGGAAAACTGCGTTCACATGATGTGCTTCAAGACTAGCAATGATAACCAAGACGACGTTGAGGATGATGAACAGCTCACTGGCATCATGCTTTCTGGCCTTGAAGCACATAATGTGAACACCGAGCTGGCGGAATACGCTAGTCTTGACGACGATGTGTATGCTTGTCGTTATGACTCATTAGAGGACATAGTACAGGAAGTAATGCCAGCGCAGTGCAGCAGTGAAAGTGAAGATGGCGGTGAAGAAAGGGATGACCCACTACCAACCGTCACAGCCTTTGAGCACATCGCTCAGCTTCGGAAATTTTCGTGTGCAAAGGAAGAGTCCCGTAAAGAGCTACTTGCGTTGGCTAGTATTGAAAATTTTGTTTTGAGATCTCATGTGCTGACTAAATAGTCCACAATCGACAAATTTTTTGCCGGATGAATAAACTTAACGTCACAGTTCTTTCACCAATGCCTGTACTTGCTTATAATTAGGCCTATGTGGAGGCAACTGGCAAAAATGTGCTTTGTATGTGTAGCTTTCCATGTAACAAATCATAATGTTGTCTAATATCATATTTAGACGAATTTCTGATAATTCAAACTTCTGATAACTCAAACTAAAATCTGTGACTTCCTGGAGTTTGAATTAATGAGTCTACTGTATTTGAAGAATACAGTAATATAGCTTATTTTTGTGCCACACACAGACTGGATATTTTTATGGTCTTATCAAACAAACACGCTGGCCGCGCATGTCCCAAAAGTCAAATGCAAAAAAAAAAAAGTTTGCAAAAAAAAAGAAAGTGAGTGTATTTGAGTTTTGCTGTTTGTTGCAAGCCATATGGTCGAAAGTCCAATGTCTTAAACAAGCATCGACATATCAAGGGGCTTTCTCGGTGTTTGCAGCACAATTAAAACAAACACGCTGTACAACCAGCCCTCCGCTTAGTATATAATCAGTGCTTTTTTGGGGCCTTTAGCATATTTTTGCAATTGTCTGAGCGTTGATAATATCAGCTTTATGCTAATACTTCGCAGCGCACAACAGACAACACACTGCTTATGCCGGCAACACAATGTAGCTGTCAAGTGCCAATTTTTACGCTTAGGAATTAGAGGTATGGAATGGAACGATTCAGCCATTCCAAAAGTGGGATGGGCCCAGCGTTCCTAGGAGTCGGAAGGAATTGACTTATCGAAAACTCCCCAGAATGGATCTGGAATGGAACGGGGGTGCCCATTCCGCTACACTGGTTAGCACAGCACAAAGGGGCCACTGCATAAAGCAGGATATTGTAGAGCACTGGACAAGCCCGGGCCAGCCGAAGGCCCAAGCTCAGCCCGGCCAGCAAGCCGGGCCGGGCTCAGGCCACGCCTGGACAGTCTTGTGCCACAACTCCTAAATTTTTTATAACAAAAAGTGTGCTCACTTATCTTTTAGGTTCAATAAAAACAAACAAGAAAAGTGGAAAGTTATTACGGTGCCGTTAAAAGAAATTACGAAAAGCTGTCTTGCACTTGGCAAGTGGATAAAAGAAAACGTATGAACTTTACCAGCATAGTGGGAGAGTGCGTGCTTTATACTTAGACAGTTCTTAGGTTAAAGCCTGCAAACTCTTCCTGGCTCACGTTTTATAATCTGCCGGGCCCGGGCTGGGCCCGGGCCGTGTCTCTACCGGGTCGAGTCAGGCCGGGCCTACAAATTCCAGCCCGCGCAGTGCTCTAGAATATTGTGTGTTCACATTTAAAAATGCTAAAGCATATTATTTAAGAATACAGTTTTTATAGGATCACTGGTAAGTCTTAAGAGAATGAACTCAGAGAAGCATATACACTGACTGAAGTTGGCATAAAAGTCCATATGATGAATACGACTCACAAGTATAATTATCACTCAAAATAGGCAAGTTGCAAAACATGACGATGAGGTGTGAAATATGATGTGTACATTTAGTGCTCTTTCCTGCTATAACCTCTTTTTGGGATTTGCAGTATTTTAAAAAAATAAATAAAGAACTACACTAAAGGCTACAAGTATAAGCTCCTTCACTAGCTGTATTAGTGAATAGTTGTGGAGTGCAAACAACCACAAAAGCTGCCCATCAGGCTTACACCCTTTGCTGCAATCAGTGCTGAAGTACATCAAGACAAGAAAAATGGCAGCAGAATGAACCATTAGCATGTCCTACATGTAAACTTAGCTGATTCAGCTGCATAAATAAACAGGGTTATTCACATTTTCCTATCTGTAGTTTAACTGCGCTTCATGATAAATGCAGCTCCAAGTTTCCAAAGGGAACACACCCGAATGGTGTGCAAATACCTCTAGGGGTAGGTACAAAAAAAAAACAGTCAAAACTCACAGCCTCCAAGATCTCCTCATCCCTAGAGGGCGCACATGACGTGCCCTTGGAAGGAGGGTCTACAAGAACTGCTGGAATGTCAGGATCTGCTGCCGCCGTCGATGCCTCTTCAATTGTTAGCCCCACTGGAGCAGAGCTTTTCTCTGCAACTGCGTTCATTGATACAGGTGAAACACTATTACACAACTTGGGATGGTACAAACAACACCCCATTTTCGTCCCGCAATATTTCCCAATTCACATAGAGAAAGTGGGGGAAAACAAAACATTCACAAATCCTGACAGTAGGCAATGATTGTAAAACCAGTGTCTGACCAAATTACGCACAAGCAGTTTACCGCAGAATGCATTTTATCAGTATGACTTCATCCTCTACCGAGATCTGAACACGTGATATAAACTCCGTGGTTCAACCATGCCCTCTGAGTTAAATTGTCACAGGGAGGTCAACCTAGTATGTTTGAGTAAAGAAGACCTCTTGGTCGCTGTAAAAATAATGCAAACTCAATTGCTCGTTTGAGCTGCAATGTTCTTCCTGCATTAAATTTTACATGCATCCCCTGTGAACATCCTACACGCAACATTTGAACGCAGACGACTCACCATTGAGTGGCAGAATTTCATCGTTCACCGTCGACGAGCTGAAACAAAGGCAAGCTTGAGTTACGAATGCACAAACAAGGCCGCAACTTGACTTGACCGAACCTGCCCGTTTTTCATGTCACGCAACAGAAGGAAAACCACCATAATCTCACATGGGGTGTAACAACTTAACCTGGGTTTAAAAAAAAAAAACTCTCCCGAGGAACATGGTCAAACAATATTGCCCTTAAGTGTTGACGAGATCGGAACAGCAGTGTATAGTGTAGGAACTTTTTGGGTCTCGCAGGTCCTTTTGAAGTCTGTTTAAGAACTATGGTAGTCCTGAAACAGACTGACGAAGGATTTGTCAGGCCCAAGATGTTTCTGCACTATTTCTGCCACTATATGATCCATTGTTCTAGTGACTAGGTAGGAGCAAGAGTCAAAGAGCACACAAACTGCAAGAGGCATACTTTATCAGGAGGAGGGGGCCCCAATGCGTCAGCGACATGTCAATTTCATTGTATAATGCCGAGATACGTTTTTTTGATAAATTTATGTAGACAGGTTGAAGGGCACGTATCCCGGCGCATGCGTAGCTTAGGTGACGATGGGTGTATCAACATATATATATGAACTTCTATCTTCTTTTTTTCAAATGCAGTTGTGATTAGCACTTGTGTTTGCCTTCTCTCTTGTGTTCGTCTTTTTAGCGCTTTTAACCACGATTCAAAACAGTCATCACTAACTATAGCCCACCAACAAGTACTTTTACAGAACATATTGGCGCCATCTATCGGGTACCCATAGAACACTTGCAATTCCCGTGAGTTCTTTTTTTTTTTTCTTGCGAAAGCATCAACTGTCCTACGGAGCGAGCCGACGTCATCAGCTTTGAAGCCGTGCCACACGGCACATTAGATCCTTTCTCCAAGTGAAGCCAGCTCCCAGCTATGAAACCACGCGAAAAGCCTAGCCAGACAGTACCTAGTTTCCCCGATCCCAAAGGAGTGGAGCAAAACTGATGGATTTCGGCTTTAATCCCATTGGCTCGTGAGCATCGACGAGGCTCCGATTGGTTACTGCGCATCAGTTTCAACGACCACCACCCCATGGCGCTACGTGTCTGCGAGGCAGCGGCTCCACCGTTCCACGCCCAAAGTCAGCGCGCTGAGGACAGCGCGTGCGCTAGACTGTCGAAGCAAGTACGCTGCGGACGAAAGAAGGAAGTAGAGGAGCGGCATGCAGGCTTTGCATTCACAACTCACAAAAAGTGCTTAGGTGTACCTCCAGCCTTTTTTGTTTTGCTCTATTTTTATTTATCGGCTCTTGACAATGTCATAAAAAACCATTCCTCATAGATAGTATGTACAGCCTTCAGATTTCCTAACAATATTGTGCAAACACTGACCGGCCGGTAGATCAGCAGCTTATTGCAGCGTTAAACAGCAAGTCAATGAGGCTATGCAGGCATGTGCCTTCTGCCACAGGCGCATAGCCTCGCTGACTTGTTCTTCCACGCCGCAATAAGGCGGTGACTACCGGCCGGTTTAGAGCAGTGATGGGCGAATCACCGGAGATTAGGATTCGGGCTGATTCAGAAGTGTCCTAACTTTTCAAGACGAATATTTGGATTTGGATGATTCAGAGGTTCGGTCGTCGCTCGTCGTCGGTCTTGCGTCATTCGCAAATATAAATCAGTTTTGGTTTATTTACAGTGTTATTGAAGGGAAACGGGTAGCCCGTCGTTTTGTTACATGCACATGGTGCATACCTACCAGCTTTTATATCCGCCAATGGCGTCGAGCACGATTTTCGGGGTCTTCGTGCTTCGGAAATGCTTGCGAGTAAGGTTTAGTTAATGCCCCAACATTTTGGTCAGGAATTGGGATTGAGTGAGTACTTTTTTCATTCCCTTTAACCTTTCATATGATACGGATTTCGAATGTAATATGGAAGCTTAATGTGTCGTCCATGATACATGTATAATAAACATCTGAGTAAGCAAAGGATTCATCTCTTCTTCCGAAGGATGTAGTGTGGTCTGGCAATGTTCTGAATCTATCAGAACCATCTGAATCGCTAGAAGATTTGGTCAATTATCCGAACCTTTCCGAATCTCCAGATTCAAGTCCGAATCTCAGTTCAAAAAAAAGTTTGTCCCATCACTAGTCTAGAGCAACTGCATATGCTCCGCCTTGCGGAGCAGAGTACTACAATGGCGCTTCCAGGGCGGCCATGTTGGATCCAAGGCCTCACTGCAGGAAGCGACCGTCGCTTTTGCAAGACCCCCAGATGCGCAAACTACGCTATCGTCCTCCGTGTTGCCTTCTTCCCAGACTTCAAAGACATGTATTAAAACATCGCTCACATTATAGAACAACACGATTATACTGCCAGTGGCTACACATAATGTTGAATGGTTAAGGAACCTTCCAGTACATTCTATTTTAATGTAGGGTGTATATTTCACAAACACAAAGCAAGAAACGTGATCCGCCTGAAACTCGGTGCCTGCAAGGTCGCTTTTCCGCCCAAAGTTCAGACCCAGCTTGGTGCACGTGACCACATCTTCATCAATACGGAGTTGGCAGTGAAAGGAAAAGGAATGTGATACTCTGGCTCTGCAAGCAGAGCCTATACAGTTAGGCCGATCGACGTTCATGCGATATTGTTGAAAAATCTGGAGGCTGTATGATCTTGCAAATATTTCATAACCTTTGCTCTCGTGAAATCCAGGGCAGCCTTATAAATGGCCCCAGCGTGCCAGATTCATGGAATTGGTATCTAAAAGAAACACTTCTTTGCAATTCTCTTAACACGTTAGTATAGATATTCTTCACACTGTTATGTGCTGGCAACTGTGAATACTGCCACGAAGCGGGACACGAGCATGCGCATGCGCTCGGGCTCTCGAACAGACCCTCGTGGATCCAGCCCAGCCAGGTCAACTATGGACGCTTGCTATGTACAGCGCGCCTCAAGCTTAACGCCGCCATGGCATTTGCCTTTTCTGACAGTCCCTGCACCAGCCAATCGAACTATCTAAAGAATATTTGGGTTCCCAATTTCTATCCCATCCTGAGAAGGCATCCCGAACGTTCTGGTGACAAATTTAACAGTAAGTAGCCGACACGAGTTCAATGTTTAGGAACCCGGTGGCGGCGTTAAGTTTGGGGGGCACTGTACATAATGTATCTAACGTCTAAATACAGAACATTGGCGGCGAAGTGAAGAACCTACCAACGCGCTGTTCATGGTGCCACGGCGGAAGCGACGGCACCAGGGGCGCCGGCATTTGGCTGCATCGACGAGTTTGAATTGAGCAACAGTGCAGCATTGCCACTTTACCACAAACGACTCGAGTTGTACTTTATCGCAAATGAGGTAAAGTGAGCCGAGAAGAAGCGTGCAATACTTTGCACGGTCTGCAGGGCGGCAACAAACGCAATTGTCTGTTCGCTCTGCCCACCGGTTTTACCTTCCAAGACAAGCTACGATGACATCATCTCGAGACTGGCGGCCCACTTCAACCCAAGGCCGCTGTCATCGTCCAGCGTTTCCAATTCAGGAAACGCGACCAGCGTCAAGGGGAGAGTATCGCTGAATACATCGCCGAGCTTCGTCGGTCGTCGAAACACTGTGCTTTCGGACCGACGTTGGATGACAGGCTCCAAGACAGGTTTGTCTGCGGTCTCCGGGAAGAGTCCCTTCAGCGATGGCTTCTGTCCGAGCCCGAATTAACCTTCTCGGTAGCCAAGGAGAAGGCGATTGCAGCAGAGTACGCCCACAAGGAGCGGTGCCCGCCGAGAGCAGCGATATGTGCCAGGTCGGTGAGCAGACGACTCCGAACACAAAGCTGAACTCCTCAGCGTCAAGAGAAGCAAATGCACCGAAGTCACAGCTAAAGGCAAGCAAGTGTTTTGGCTATGGAGGGGCACACACCCCAGACGAGTGTCGTTTTCGACACGCCCAGTGCCATTTCTGCAAGCAGCGGGGCCATGTCGTGAAGGTTTGTCGACAGAAAGCGAAGCAGTCGTCATCAACACCTAAGCCAACAAGTGATAAACGCCCAGGCCAAGGCGGTCAGCGGCGCGACAGTGATACGGCTGACATGTTCGGCATTTTCCAAGTAACTGCCGAGAAGTCTGCTGTCCGGGTCGTCGTTGAGGTTAACGGAAGCCCTCTCGAGATGGAAGTAGACTCAGAAGCCGTGTGTTTCATGATCAACGAGAGAACTATGCGCCAGCTGCGGTTGTCCAAGCACAAGCTACGCTCATGTGAACTGCGTCTTCGCACGTAAAACTATGCGCCAGCTGCGGTTGTCTAAGCACAAGCTACGCCCATGTGAACTCCGCCTTCGCACGTACAACCAGCAGAAATTGAGGGTGCTAGGCTCTGTGATGGTCCAGGTCACCTAAAGATCACCAAGAACGATTGCGTCTTGTCGTGATCAAGGGAGCAGGCGTAAGCTGGCTGGGCCGAGACTGGTTTAAGTCTCTCGCGATTGAGTTAAAATTTAATCAACTGCAAGGAGAATCGAAGAGCCAGAGTCCGTCCACAGCAGCAGTGCTGCGAAGTCACGTCGATGTCTTCCAACTGGGTCTGGGTAAAAGCAGAAGACCACCAGTCCGAGTCGAAGTTGAACCAACCACTAGCCCAAATTCTTCAAATTACATCCAGTTCCCTTTGCCTTACTACCAAGGGTAGATGAAGCCTAGGACAAGCTCATCAATCAAGGCATTTTGGAACCCGTACTACATTCCCGTTGGGCGACTCCAATAGTACCTGTGATCAAGAAGGATGGCACAGTGCGAATTTGTGGCAACTACAAGAGTACGGTGAAGCCTGTCGTTTGTTGTTGGGAAAACTACCCTTTGCCCACAAGTTAACGGAGGAACGTTTTGCGAAACTGGCGGGCTGTGCCAAGTTTTCCAAGCTTGATTTAGACCAAGTGTACCTACAAGTGACCACCGATAGTGAGACAGCTGATTTTCTCACCATCACAACACACCATGGACTTTTCCGGGTCACACACCTGCCGTTCGGAGTAGCTGTTGCCGTGGCTATTTTTCAGAGATACATGGAACAGCTGCTGCAAGGACTGGAAGGGGTGCACGTTTTTCTAGATGACATTCTCGTAGGCGGTAAAGATGACGCCGAGCACAAAAACTCGTCTGCAAGCAGTGCTTCAACGAATTAAAGACGACAGTGTCCGGCTGAAACGTGATAAGTGTACTTTTGGAGCGGATGAAGTCATATTCCTGGGTTATAAAGTCAACAATGCAGGAATGCAGCCAACAGATGACAAAGTCAGGGCTATCCATTGAGCATTCGAGCCAAAGTGTAAGAAGGAGTTGCAAGCGTTCCTAGGAGCACTTAACTTCTATAACAGGTTCCTGCGGGGAGTGTCACGCATTTGGGAGCCATTGCACAGGCTGCTGGATGACGGCCATAAGTGGAAATGGACGATGCGGGAAGCAGAAGCTTTCCAGCGGGCCAAGAAATTACTGCAGCCTTTGGACATCCTTGGCCACTACAGTGTCCACAAGCCACTCATTATGGCCTGTGACGCCTCTCCGCATGGACTTGGGGTAGTGCTGAGCCACGTCGACAGCGAAGGCCGGGAGGTTCCGGTAGCATATGGATCTTGAACAATGACAGCTGCCGAACGGAACTACGCACAGACAGACAGACCGTGAAGCCTTGGCAATAGGTTTCGGAATACGAAAGTTCCACAAGTTTGACTATAGCCGGCATTTTCAGGTTGTGACAGATCACAAACCTCTGCTGGGACTCTTGCATAACACAAAACCAATGCCTCAGGTCCTGTCACCGAGGATGTTGCGTTGGTCGTTAATGCTGTCTGCTTACGACTACGAGCTGGAGTACAGGACTGCTCATCAGCTCAAGAACGCAGATGCACTGAGTCGACTGCCTCTAACAGAGAAGGACAGCCCACCTGACCAGAAACTTTTTGAAGTCCGGATGCTGGAGAAAGCGCCGGAGATTCCTTGGGATTCCCAAAAGATTGCACGATGCACCCACAACGACCCAACCTTGGCCAGAGTTCTATATTGGACGGTGGTCGGATGGCCTCAAAAGAAACTGCCGGACCAGTGCAAGCCTTTCGTTCGACAGCAGCACGAGTTGTCAGAGTATCGGGGTTGCTACTCTGGGGGAGTAGAATTATCATTCTGGGGCAAGCCAGAGACCAGGTCTTGGACTTGTTGCATACCATGCATCCCGGCATCGTCCGCATGAAGGCGCTGGCTAGAAGCACAGTTTGGTGGCCAGGCATCAATCAAGATATCGAAAGGAAGGTTCGAACCTGCCTACCCTGCAAGGAGACTAGGCGGGAACCTGCACGCGCAAGGCTGTATCCATGGGACTTTGCCAGAAACCCTTGTTCCCGGATCCATATAGATTTTGCAGGGCCATTCCAAAGAAAAGTTTTTCTTTTGGTGGTGGACACACACTCGAAATGGCTGGAAGTCATCCAGACAGCATCCATGTCTTCAGCAACAGGACACTATAGTCTCCGACAATGGAACGGCATTCGTCTCGCAAGAATTTGAAGAATTCACGCTGAGGAACCAACTCCGGCATGTCAAGGTGGCATCGTGCTATCCATCATCTAACGGTCAAGTAGAGCGTATGGTCCAAGAGACTAAACAGGCCCTCAGGCGCATGGAAAGAGGTGACATATGGCCACCAAGCTGGCACTTTTCCTTTTGAGCCAACATATTCTGTTGCACTCTACGACAGGAAAGAATCTTGCAGAATCGTTGATGGGTCGAAGACTCCATACAGCACTGGACCAGCTTCAAGCAGACCTACAAACAGAGATGGTAGACAAACAAGAAAAACAAACGCTGCGGGGAAGGCAAGGTGTACGCGAATTTGAACTGCAAGACACCGTCTTTGTCTGCAACTATCTAGGAGGCCCTAAGTGGCTGCCCGGTGTCGTCACTGAGATCACTGGTCCGGTGTCGTACAAGGTTCGCACCATCGACGGGCGTTTTTGGAAGCGACACGTAGACCAAATCCGGAGTCGTAAGTTTAGCACGTATCTGGAGGAGGAGCCCGCGACAGAGCTGCCAGAACAGCAGCATCCCTTGTCATGCGAGCCACGACTTTCGGATGAGCCAGCGGAAGAGCGCTCGCTCTTAACGAGCGAGGCGGACTTTTCCGCGCAGCCAACCACGCCCGAGGAAACACCAGTGGCAACGCCTTCTTCACAACTTCCGCCTGCTTCGGAACCAAGGCACGAAGCAGTGTTGCCAACTTCAGCGCCCGTGCAAGAACAATCGAGTCGTCCCCAGCAACAACGCCAACGTCTTAATCCTAACTAGGGGGGAGAACTGTTATGTGCTGGCAACTGTGAATACTGCCACGAAGCGGGTGTCGGGACACGAGCACGCGCACAAGCTCTCGAACAGAGCAGTGTTTCCACTCCTACTGATTTATCAGTAGATCTACAGATTTTTTCAGAATTCTGCTGATTCAGTGATGATACCACAAAATCTACTGATTTTTCTCCTTTTTGCCTACATGTGACCCAATACTACTACTTTTTGCTCCAAGGCGCGCCCTCGAATGATTTCGGCGCACTTCGGTGGGTCATTTCCATCCTCCTTGGTCATTTCACGTATGTGCATGTGTGTGTAGGCATTGTAAAAGTAAACGAGGGGCAAAAGTGAGAGCCAATAGGTGCACGCACACACGCACAGGTGACAGCAATGCAGGGGATAGTTAAACCAAACGCGGGTGGATTGGTGTACAAAATGGGAAAGGGAGAGGAACCCTTGTCGAAACTAGAATCACTGTAGAGCGACGGCACGTTCGGCCACCTAAGAGGGCGCACCTCGCTTCGAGCCTTTCATGCCGTGCCGTATGTATCGCGGTTTGAGGGATTTTAATTTGCTTATAACTTCCAAACTAACGCGAAGTTTGCCACCACAATTTTTTCTGCATGTTACTACAGTGCCTGAGGTCTATCTCAGCGCAAGTTTTCGACCAGTCAAATAATCACTGGAGTGCCCTTCTCTAAACACCCCAAGATATGGGAAAAAATTCTGGCAACAAATTTTACACTCAAAGAACAAGAACTGTGAAATTATTTCATTGAGCAGACCATTAAGCGATAAAGACTAAGTGATTTCTAGTAATCCTGTAAGTGTCGCGCGGCAGCTGACTTCCAGATATTGCAGGAAGAGGTCGGGAAATTTGATTTGCACACAGTTTCTACCCTTTTTCACTGCTTATTTTTCTAAAGAGACTGCCAAAATTTAGAAACCTACCGATTTTTGGAGATTTTTCAAGCTGAAATCTAGTACTATTTTCTGGGGAGCTGTGGCAACACTGGAACAGACTCTCATGGATCCAGCCCAGCCAGGTCGGCTATGGACCACTACGCTTGCTATGTGCATAATGTATGTAAATTCTAAATACACAACACACTCGAACTGCGTCATTTGAGGAATTTCACTATACGGCCATACCTTGGCGAATTGGTGCTGTACTTGCCCTCGGAATGCACCTCACTTCCACGCCTTTTCCGTCTGTGGCTTTTCTTGTTCGGCTTCTTCGAAGTGGGAGGGTCGGAAGGATAGTTCGGCAGGGTTACCTTGAAAACAAAGACGTGCGGGTGAAATCGTTAATGCTTTCGCATTAAAGACAAAACATATAATCCAAGTTCGTCGCGTTGGATGCCAGCGTAGCTGATCGTTCACTTTCCTTGTTTTGAAATGATCATTTGTGGCATGCACAGCGCTCCATAAAGCTAAGCAAGGTTTCGGAAAGCATGAGTAAACATGCGACCGTTTTAAGCACATGAAATGTTATATTCAGAATCGGACACCCCACCTGCATTGCGCTCGTCGGATGAAGCAACGCCTGAATTTCCTCGACTTCGCCAGTTTCCTCGGCAACAGCGTCGACAGCGGCGTCCACCGGTGTCCGTGCTGCCATCTCTGGGGCTAACTCCGTAGCCTGGAAACCGAATGGTGTCCGAGTTTTCAAGTACTACCTGGAAAGGGGAAACGTTGCACTAGAAACTTCAGGTCAAAACTGACAGTACACCCTTCGCGTCACCGTCCGATTTCGCAAGGCGTCTGCTCTACTGCAAACAATCGCTTGAGTTACCTCGACGAAGTCCGTTTTGGTCATCTAGCTCTGATCAGACCAAAACGGACCCTGTCTAAGGTCTAGCTCTGTTTATTTGTTTTTTGTTCCTTTGGATATCTTATTCGCATAGCAAATCTGGCAGATGAGTGATCCAAAGATGAGCATTAGTAAGGCCAATGTTGATAAAACCGTGGTAAAACGCAGTCTGCAGTGAATGCGTTTGCTTTGCAACTCACTTGCTTTGGGTGTGATTCAGATTCTACGAAGTGCTTGTCTATTTCGTCGGATGTCTTCAAATTCGGGGCGAAATGCGGTCCCACACCATAGCGCAAATAAAACTGGACTGTATGATATCGATGTGTAATCATATCCGATGCCCATGCCTCGTTGATAAGAAAGCGACTTGCGGCTTTCCTGCGTGCCTTCGAGCGCTTAAAGTCGCTTATAAACAGGTCTAGCTGACTTTTCTTAATTCTGTGAAAATCAGAAGCGTTTTATATGCGTGGAGCGCATGCGCAAAATTATTTACAGAATAAAATCGCAATGACAATGGTTTTCAAACCGAAACCAATTGAGGCCTAAAGCCAAGCCAATCAGAGGGACGAAAATGAGGCACGTGACTCAAAATGTCACGAACCTTTCGCGAACTTTTATCGACCTGAGTTTCGGCGCATTTGTCAAAAATTAGTTTAGTTAAACTACTTTAGTATTTTAAACCTTTTGTAAGCTTTACATACTTCGCGCTCTAACTTCAGGTAAGCCCTCTATATCAAAACGGGTAGTTCGTTCGACTCGTTTGACTGGTGTGTTGTTCCGGCGAACCTCGTTGCGGCGAACCTTCCCAAACCCCGTCAAATTGTCAAATTTCGACACAAACACTTTCAACTTCGGGTAAACATTTTCTGCACAGTATTTAATTTTATCTTTTATGAAATAGTCTCACAATTCTGGACATTATAAGAGCAAACATATAAACAATTACAAAACTTTGATAGCTATCGATTGAGGCGTCACATAACGTCCACGACGGAATGAAAAAAAAAAAAAAAAAAGAGTTTGAGCGTTAAGCGCTAACCCGCCTAGAGCACTATATATAGTGCTCTAAACCCGCCAACTGTCATTTGGTTTGAAAGGTTTTACCAGTTTTACCAGTTTTACCGCGGTGGGGCAAGATTTTACGCGTCCAGCTAACGTGACAAGGGCTCCACGAGGCCAGGTCGGCCAGGTAAGTTGCAAGAATCAATTAAACCATTTTCCCCCTGCCTTTCTGGGCAGTGTCTTAGGTTAGGGCACTGCTTGTGTATCACCACGATTCGAAACGTTGCCAGTGCTTCCTTCAGCTACGCTTTGGCGAGAAAGCTGGTTGGTGGTTTGGTAATGTTTCCATAGTTTTTCTTTTTGGGGCTTCGCAGAGTGGTCGGTTTTCAGCTTTTTCGTTGTTCGAGGGAATTGCCTTATCCCTCTTTACTTAGTCGAGGGCGTCGTTTCTGTCCCCTCTCCCCCTTCGTTGGAACTTTGAACTGACCCCGTGGCGTATTTTCCTTTTCCCGCGTTGACTGAGGGTCCTGTAAAAGTGTTAACTATGTCGGAAACAGTATGTGTTAAACCAAAATCGACGGACGAAAAAAAATTAATAAAAGGACGACAGACAATGGTTCTTAAAACGCAGCTGGCTACATTTTATTGACACACCGACTGCTCCTTCAACCAAATTTGTGCACGTTTCGGCAAATCCCGCCATGACATTCTATTGCCACAACCTCCTTATCAGAAACCGATGGTACAAAACCCAGATTACTCCAATCAGTGGCAATGTAAAGGGCAATATCACCTGGCTAACAAATGCACAGCATACCATTTTTCCCTTTCTCTTTCCCTTACTAAAGTAAAAAAGAAAAATTGCTCGCTGCATCTAGCGTGTGTGTATGGGTGTTTTTATGTGTCGTCTTCCACCTCCCATGTTTTGGCTATGATATATTTATGGTAGTTTTTCTTTTTTTTTTTATGTGCAAAGTTGTTGTTGCAAGGCGAGCAGCACTCTGTATAACTCGTTATCTGTTTCTGTTTAGCTACAACATGGCGCCAGGGGCTTCCAAGCTTTCCCTCGCTGCCCAGTTTGACGATTTTTGTCGTCAGTCTGTCCGCAAAAGCAGCATCGAGGCAGGTGAGAAGTGCTATGTAAAAAACTAATTGTGCCATATTTGTGTACTCCTGTCGGCCCCCCATATGGTTTGCACTGACTTTACGATTCACACAATTGTTACCTATGAAAGCATGCGTTTCCCAGAGTGTCTTTATATGCCCTCAGGAACTTGTTGTCAGTTCATAATTAAGTGTTCAATGCCCTTAAAACAAATGCAAGAGAATGAGTTTATATGCCTTACTTTCTTGTGAAGAATGACCTGATTGTTTAATACTATACATGCATAGCTGTCCATTTACTGATTAAGGTCCTTCAGAAACCCAAGTGAGGTTCCCTGGTGCTTGGCATCGGAGCATGTGCCACAGGTCGTAATGAACGGACCTTTTTCCACTAAGCTTCTGCGCGGGCATACATGCCTTCTCCTGGCCTTGCTTTCCGCTGTCGCCATTTTTGCAGGGCAAAGTTCCGGTCGACCAACATATTCAACACCCGTCTGCATATTTCAACTTTTTTTGCCATTCTTGTTTGAGTATACGGTAGTGTGGGACATAAGTCAACGAAGATCAATGCAACAGCACGATGCCAATGCATATTCTGACAGGTGGAGGCAAGTTGGGCTGACCTTCATTTGTATTTCGAAGACAACTCTGCAGACAGTGCTTGTTACGGGAAAAAAGGTTCATTGAACATTTGCTCCACTTCGGCGTCTGCTCGAGGTTTGGGTAAAATAAAATTGTGGTGGACTTTTGGGACCTGGGTTCAGCCACTGCAGTAACAGAAATTGCAGAGATCTAAGAATGTTCAAAGCGCATTGCATACTGTCGGCAATCGGGTCAGGTGCACACAAAAAAAAAAAAAACAATAAAACGAGGAAAAAAACTAGCTCAGCTAAAACCCATAACACATCGCATACTTTGTTCATGGTTTCATTTATATAACCTCGCACAATAACTCAAACAGATGTGTGTCTTTGTGTAGAAGTTTGAGTGCCTAGCCTCAAGGTTGCTGGGCATTTCAAGACTGACAGTGCAACGTGTCTGAAAATATTCTGCAGAATGAAAATATACACAATGAGGGGAAGTGCAGAATTTGATAGCAAAGTCCCAACAGCAGTCTTTGTGGGGTACCTCGAATGGCAGCCGAAGTTTTGCCAGAAAGCATGGCTTCATTAGGTGCATTTGCTCAGGATACTGTCTCATGTGCTGCATGTTATCTCTAGTCGTGCCCTGCACTGGCATTGAGTATGCCTAGTAGCCATTTGATACAAGCCACCTCTGTGTTGTTTATTTTTCAGAGTTCCTCGCCTTTGTAAGGAACCAAGAAGAGTGTCGCAAGCAGTGGCATGCTGCAGAAGTTGAGAATGCTCGGCTGAGAAAAGAGCTGGAAGCTCTCAAGGGCTCTCATCTGGAGCTCGAGCGCAGTCTGGCATACACCAGGTAAGGCATGCCTGCAGATTTCTTTGGCAATGATAAGCTGCAACACTGCCTTCCTCCATAACGATCTTGCTGACGATTTATGTCTCGGAAGAATGGCCGTAGCCATTTTGGGTTAATCTAGAAAGACTTTATACTCTCTAGCCGTCGGCTGGTTTGACATTAACAACGGCATATTATTATCAGATATCACTTTTCACATGATATTTTAGAAGTCCTGATTGCTTTTCTTTAGAGACTTTAATTTATAGGTGACATAATTGTCTCTTTCATAGAAAAACAACCACCAAAATTAAATTTCCCATGCGTCGTGGAAAATGCGTAGGTGCTCGCCGGTGAGCCAGCTTCTATGTGGCACATGCTGAAGCAGACCAAATGGGGCCCATTGCTTGACTACAGGATCAAAACGCAAATTCCTAAAACAATTGAGGAATGTATTTCCGCTCCTGTTTATTCTATGTTCAACCGACGCAAGGCAGGCCTTGTCTATCGATAACACATTGGCTAACTACTGTGGCGGGACAATTGTTGCACATCGTGCGGTTCACAAAGTGCTAGGCTCGTTTCATAGACCGACACTTTTGTACCCGTCGGTGTCGGTCGTCGATGCCCCATACCTCCGCGACCTGTTGCACTTGCCCAAGTTGAACGCCGATGTTCAGGGGAAAGAGAGCAGCCCCTGCTGTGCCCTGTCTTTTATTCGCGTCTCCAACTCGTCGCTCGCCCCCCAGTGGCGGAAACGGGAATCGCTCTAGTGAGCGTCCCTGGCTCTCCTGCTCAGCGGGCACGGCGGAACTGCTTGTGATCATGGCTTGCGAAATGTCATTTCTGAATGCAAACAACTCTCTTCACTGTCCCAATGTAGTGCTGCAGCCGGTATGAGATTGTACGTTATTAGGAAGTTTTAGTATTGCGTATAAATGCAAACGCTAGCGCCGTGCGTTTGCGTCACAGTTGCGTGGTCCACACCAGTGTTGCGGAGTTGCCACTCCAGAGTTGGAATGATTCCGGAATCATTCCGCATTTTCACGGCCCCGGAATGGAATAAGAATGGAATGGCGGCAACAGTGAGGGGAATGGAATGGGAATGGAATTGGGTGCCTTTTGCCCGGAATATAATGGAAATAGAATAAAGCACCAGAGCCAGTCAGCGAGTCAGTTGCTCAGAAATGAAATGAGCGAGAAACTGCTAGCCTGCGGGGATCCCTAACAGATTTATACACCGAAGAAATGCAATAAAAAAAAAAACGTCAAAGCAAAGAGCAAAGGGGGAAAGGGAAGTAACATGGCGCCTTCCACAGACGCTCAGGCGTCGGGCTTCGATGGCGTTACACGAGGGTTTGCTTCGGCATTAAAACAAAGCGAGATTCACTTCCCTCTTCTCCTCTTGTGCTTTGCTCCGAGGCTTGTTTTTTTTAAACTGCATTTGTAGTGTAACTCCGCCTCTTACTTGGTCTTTGTTCTGATGCTTGTTTTCTGTGTTATGTTTTAGTGGGTTGGGGTTACAAGCAAGCTAGCGGATTCCCGCTCATTTCCTTTGACTTTGGTCTCTGCGTACTTCGTTTCACCTTGCGATGGACCGCTGCGGACGGTATACGAGTCGCCCTAGGCAATCCAGCACCGTGAGCGGGACTGCAGGGTCACGCGACACTCAGGAAGAACTGGATTAGTTTTGATGGCTCTTGTGCTGTCTGTTGAGGTCCATCGTGAGATGAAGTAGACTATCGTCACTGCTCTTGGTGTCACCGAACTTACTAGACCTGCAGAAAGATCGTCCCGCGCCAGATGTGCCGCGACCGTTGCTGTGAGGGCAACTGAGAAGGAGAGCTGGGTGCTAGCTGCCACTGAGGTTTTGGCTTCCGTGCATCTCGGCTGCCCGGTCTGCATTTTTCTCCTTGTCCTGGAAACTGTTTGAGGTGGTAAGAAGTCAGTTGGGCGGTGTTGTTGAAGAAACACGGGGAATGTAAATTCGAACGCTGCGGTATTACCCCGTTAATTGTATCTTGATGTGGAGAGCTTTGTCAACGCTGACTTCCCGACCCATCGCCACAATGCGAACAACCGACACCGAGGTAGAAGAATGAATTGGTTGGTACCATCTGCTGCCTGAACCCGCCACTCGATCAGGGCGAAGAGGAACATCACAATTTGGACGAGAAGACAAGATAAATACAGATCGAGTCGTGGCATCGTGGAAGACATTTTTCTACATTAGTCGCGAAGAAAATAGACAAGCTGCACGCTGGAAGTTGTGCAACGAAACTATACACGGTGCAGTCGGCGTATATCATCTAACTTTATTCGCCATCTGTAGAGGAAACACGAGAATGAGTATGCGAAGGGTGGAAAAGGGCAGGCGAACCAGCCAAAATATTGAATTGAATATGATAAGAAATATCAATATTTGTAAAGCAAGCGTGAACTTGTGCGTTTTAAAACAGGTTTTGTGACATGGTCTATACGGGCCCTCGTGCTGCGCCGCAGAGGTTGCATTTTGTCAGAGGATGTGTTCTTGCTGCTGCGCATGGAGTCGCTTCCAGCAATGTACTAGCCGTGTTGCTGTATTTGAAGAATACACTAATATAGCTTATTCCTGCGCCACGCACGAACTGGATATTTTTTATGGTCTTATCAAACAAACACGCTGGCCGCGTATGTCTTAAAAGTAAAATGCAAAAAAGTTAAGAAAAGAAAATGAGTAGAATTAAGTTTTGCTGTTTGTTGTGAGCCACGTGGTCGTGAGACCGATGTCTTAAACAAGCATCGACATATCAAGGGGCTTTCTCGATGTTTGCAGTACATTGTAAATGAACACTTTCTGCCACCAGCGGTCCACTTAGTAAAAATCAATGCTTTTTTGAGGAATTTAGCTTCTTTTTTTTTTTTTTTTTTTTTTTGCAATCGTCTCTGCATTTGATAATGTCAGCTTTATGCTGCTTATGCCAGCAACAAAATGTAGCTGTCAAGTGCCAATTTTTACATTTAGGAATTAAAGGAATGGAATGGAACGATTCAGCCATTCCAGGAGTGGGAATGGGCTCAGTGTCTCCATTCCTAGGAATTGAAAGGAATTGAATTATCAAAAACTCTAATTCCCCGAAATGGAATTGGAATGGAATGGGGGTGCCCATTCCGCAACACTGGTCTACACTGCGCATGTTCGTCATTGCCATGCTCTATTCCAAGACCGCAATTCTGGGCACATGCAGTGTAGAACACGCAAACACACAGTGCTTGCGTTCCCTCATACTCACCACTGTTTCACCAATTTCCAGCACCAACAAAACGTGCTGCAGTGAGCAGACATGCAAGCGGGTAGACATTCCTTTGAACTGGAAAGAACGAAATTGGCAAAACAACGGCACGTAAAAATGAAAAGAGCTAAATGTTCTAAGAAAATTGGTAACTAAAAAAAACAAAAACTGAATCCATTTCATTTCTTAATTTGGTGCATTTCATTGAAGATGTGGCGGTGACTTTTAAAAGTTTTGCCAATTGCCAAAAGTCGCGATTTTGATAGCACCAAATGCTTTACGCACAATTAATGTAATTTTACATGGCTTTCTCAAATTACTGTTTTAATTGATTTTAGACATGTTGTTTTATTTTGTAACATGTAATTAAAATGCTGCAATTGGCACCAGTGATAATAATTTGCACACTTGAGTATCATGATTGTTCGTGCATTTGAAATTAAATCATAAGCAGCAAATTTTATTAGAGCATGAAAAACTATGTATTAAAATATCTTGTATTATTATTATTAATACAAATTGTGGCAATGAAGGCCCCCAATGAACGCCACAATCGCAAAATTATACCATTAAACAATAGTCTTTCCAGAAAGGTCTCATTTTTTATTTTTTTTTTTTAGCATATCAAGATAGAGACAAACCCTGGATGTAATATAGATTCCTGTACGTCGCGCGTTGCTTCAAAGACACGCTTCTGCTGTCTGACTCGGATTTTACCTTTGGGTTTTTGTAGTGAGCACAGCGTTTCTTAACTTATGTTTTGTGAACATATTTAAGCTCCTCACCTATAGTGATAGTTTGTAAAATTTGGATTGATTCTGTTATTCTTGTGCTGGGAATAATGTTAAAGCAATTAATCACCTGAATACCCAAAAACCCATTAAAAGGACCACAGTCCGTAAGAACACAAAAATCTCAGCACTGATTTTTTCAACAAATACAATAATCTGTTACCTCTAAAGTGTACAGAAGACCCCATCTTTAAAGGGACGTTGAACTCCAAAATATTTTGAAGTAACTGGATCGGACACGTATGTCACAAAATAGTTTCCACGAACAACTTCTTTAGCTCAATAATTACACAGTGGGACACATCTTGAGTTAAAAAAAAAATCAGCAATTAACACCTTTAACGAGAAGTTAAATAAAAATGGAGGTTAGTTGCGGTTTAGTTCCAGAATTAAAATGTGCCTCCTGGCATCAATATTATGCTAAACACCGTTTCTGTTTTCAGGATAAAAAGGAGACCTGCGCTCATAACACACTAGCTTCCTTGTATAACGGGAATAATTTATATCGCTCAATGAAGACGGCACACTAGGCAGTCTCAGCGACTGGTATGCCGGTACGCATCTCCGACCTTCACTATAACCACCATTTAGGAAAACGAGTGGCGCCACCTATGGTGAATTGGAGTTACGAATGTACCCCCGACTTCTAGCCTGGCTAGGAAGTCGGGGGTTGCTTAGCCCTTTCTCTCTGCATCATTGCAACATAACCATCCAACTCCACCTGGGCAGGAGAGCTATTCTGTCACCCTGTAGGAGGCACAAAGTTAGACAACTGGTGCCGTTGTGAAATCACGGGGTGCCATAACGAGGAGCTGAAAAACTTGTTTACCCCATATATTTAAATAAATAAAAAAAAAAAAAAAACATTTTGGGAGCCGTACAACTATGTTTGTGGGCCAAATAGTTTGCAAAGAGTTGCTGCAACATATGTATACAAATTTACGGTACACTTGTTCAGATTATTTGATGTTCGTTCGCGCAAACTTGGGTTAGCCTTTCTTGAAGGACAGTAGCTGCTGTTTGTTTAGCTTCAGACATTTCCTATAAGCCCTGGGTTTCTCCCTTGCTTTATAAAATTATTAAATATGTAGACCTGCATTAATGAACTGAATGCATGTGTACAAACGAGCTGGTGTAAATTGAATGTGACCTAAAGTCTGAGACTATGGGTAAAATATGATACTAAAATTGCTGCTGTTGCTACGCTTATTCTCGATGAAATGAGTCAGCATATAGCTTGGGGGTTCCTACTTGGTGAAGAATGGAAATTCCAACCTTCGCAACTGCTCGCATACCCAGGGTCGTCGGCGGCCTCAGATAAAGCCACCATAGCTTCCATTGATCGCTGCCTATATGGCTTGCACGTGACGTCATTAAAGAGCGCTCCGATGACCACCATAGAAGAGGGGAAGAAGGAGCTCCCCTCTTACCAGGATCCTCTTTTGTGCCTCCCGGATTTGCACAGACGTAGCTATTCTCCCTGAAGATCATAGCAGATTAACTCGTCACTCAAAATTCTTACAAAAGCAGCTTCCCTCTCCTCTTGCATGGTGGTCAAAAGTATGCAATCTGACGTCAGTGCAAGCCATGTATACTGTTGTCTTCCAAGTGACAATTTTTCCTCCTGGGTGTCGGCGGTTTTGCGCAGACGGTGTTGCTGCGCCTTGGTTTTACGTTGCCGCGTATGATGTGCCGCCACCATGACCGCTAGATCCTGTCCTCTAACCCTCTTGTGGCACGTCATTGAAAGCATACCAGAAAACTTCCCTACTTGTAAGAGAGGAAGGTGATCGTATTAAGCGAACAAACTGGATGAAACAGCACGGCAGAAACCGTGCATCGGTCTCGGGAAAACTACTCCAGTCGGTCCAAACCAGACGGTCCAGACGAAAGGCAGCTGTGTGCACCAGGGCAATAAATGCCAACGCATTTTAAAACGGCACCTACATTGAAAGATCTGAAGCCTTTTTGGGACTTTCCAGTGGATGTGTCGTTTTTACCTGCAGTTTCAAGGTTTATGTCATGAGCCTCTATCTTACTTCATCCTGCTTTTATTTAGGGAGGTGCTGGAAAAAGAAGTGCAGCGCAGAGAACGCAGCGAAGAAGAGAAAGAGGCTAAGGTGAGCCTCCTTTGAAGTGTGGGGCTACTGTTGCTGCATTTCAAATTTTTTTTCCTGGGTTACGATTTCTACCCTGGTTCAGCAGCAATATGGGAGAACAAGCCTAGCGAAAGAGACTGACGGGGCTTGCCCATTTTAGAGCGCAGCTCTTGGGCGCCTGTTTCCGGGTTGAGCGGCGGCGACATAACCGCACGTTGCATTATGGGACGTTCTCCATAATGATGCCACGTGTGACGTTACGAGGGTAAAATTTTCCCGTAAAATTTGGCGGGAAAATTTACCCTCGTGACGTCATGCTAAATTTAGAGGAAATATTTTCGTTGGGAAATTGACATCATGTGACCTTAACACCAATCTGGTTTCCCCGCTAAATATAGCGGGAAACTTTTTGCTAAATTGCCCTGCTAAATTTAGCGAGGAAATTTTTGCTTAATTTAGCGAAAATTTTTCGTTAAATGGGAGGGGAGGGTATGGAGAAGGAGCAGGGACATACCCTCCCCTCCGTACCCTCCCCTCCTCCTGCTCAAGAGCTGCACTCTAATTCGGCATTGCAAAAAATCGTAAATGGCATTCATTTTTTTTTTTAAATCTGCTTTTACCTGCTGGTAGTTAACCCCACTGTTTTGGACTGTTTGTTGCCCAGTCGTTTGAGATCTTGACTGTTCATGTACAATGTCCAAGTGACAGAGTTCCTTATCAAGTAATGATTAGGTCACAATGGTTACAGCACAGCATCTAAATACAGTAGCTATTTACTTTCAATATATTTTATGTAACTTCTACATGTCTTAAATGAACACTGAAGGCTAAAGGTAAAGATTTTACTAATGGTGTACCTCTTCACAAAATAACCCACATGAAAACAAGCCAGAAGCCACAAAAAAGTATGTACTGAGGACTAGAAATGACAATTTAAACCCTGTGGTAGAAACGTCAATTCAACTTTGTCCTTCTTTTAAGCTTAGTCAATGTTGTCTGTGATAGGTCTGCCGCCAGTTACAGCTGTAAAATACACCTTTTTTATGTTTTAAACAAAGCCCACTTGCTTGTGGACAACCTGCACAGTCCTGACCAGAGGATATGAGAATCTAACAGTACTTTTTAACGTAAGCTCGACTAAAATGCTCTGAAAACCTTGCTTGTGTCCGAGCTCTCCACATTGGAAAACGGTTGCATTGTGTAACAATGCATTGTGCAGTTTCATCTTCTGTTTTGCCATTGTCGAGTTACCATGCATTTAAAGGCTCCAGGCTCAGATCCGATCTTTGAGCACCTTGAAGCAGCTGTGCTTGTCTACTCTTCACTCGCAGCTAAAGCAGATTGACCTCATCCGAGAGTTCATCATGAACGACGTGGAGCTGAGAGACGAGACAATGGAGAAGCTGCCATTCCTGCGGCCCTCCAATGCACACCAGGCCAGCAACCTCAACAGGTGAGGCACTGCTTGGCACAGCTGACTGCGAGAAAGGCTGGGTTGCTCTCGCAAGGGGAGTAGAGGTGGTAGAACAATTTGAGAACCTCATCAGTATCCCTAGCACTTTATTGATGGTGCGAGCTTTGAATTCCGTAGCTGCGATATACTAATGTAGACTACCATGCTTTCTAGTCACATAAATAATGCCACTTTTGTTTTAGAAAGATAATGCTATTGGGTGCAGCAGTCGGGAAGGGGAACTTTCTGCAGTAAACAAAAATGAGGGAGGAATGCTTCAGTGCTAAAATAGAGGTCGTCATTAATTCGGACCACTGCAGAAGTGTAAGCTGGTTGCTACGCATATACCTGGGGTGAAGGAAGATGGGGGAGGAGAGGTAGGTGGATAATTCCATTTCATCTAAACTGTGTTGAAATCTGACTAGCATGTGTGCATTGCCCTTTTTTATGCGCTAGTACTTGCACGCTGCAATGCCCATTTTGGGTGCAGCTGTCAATCCAAGCCACGCTTGTGGTTCCTTCCTTTTTTTTTTTTTTTTTTTCACACTCTTTTTCGCATTAATAGAAACATTGGCCGTTAGTCGTTGCCCGTCTTGGATGTGCCTGACCTATCACTGCAGTCCTCTTCCCTTTGCGCCTTGTTTGTCATACTTAATTGTGCATGTTCCCTCTATTTCCGTGTCAGGCTGAACACGATTGACGAGTCTGTGGGCTCGGTCCTGTCCATCTCGCACAAAAGCTTGGACGACAGTGACCATGGTGGCGAGGGCGTACGTCGCAGTACAAGGTTGCGGGGGAAGGGCAGTTCTGGCTGGGGTCAGCTCGAAGACGGAGTCAACGCACGCAAGCGCAGGTCTCAGGTTTGTCGCCCTCGATGTCTCGACGGGTTAAAACTGAAGTTTGTGCATGTGCAGCAGCTGCCTGCGAGTTTTAAAAGATGCTGCTTTGGGGGGCGGTGTTGGATGAGCTGGTATTATAGAATCCCACGTTCATTGTCGTGTCCACCACAAATAATAGCGACATTCTTCAGTCCCTGTATGTGGAGTGGTGATTCATACCGTAAGAATTTAAGATCTGCAGCCGCAATGTGAAGTGAGAGTGATTGCTGCTATCGTGTGTGGTAATATCCACTTTTGTGCTCGTCTACTCTATTTACTCAATCACACGCAACACAGCCTTCTGGTCACTGTAGTATCTAATAAAGGGAACACCCTACATACATGAGTTTTAGCCTGAGATATCTGAATCAAGACGAGTATGGTTACGAGTTGCCTTACATCTGATAGTATGTTCAAACCGAGCTCTACGGTCAGGAATGCGTAATGGCATCCTCCACCAACTGTAGATGTCACCGGGCAATGCACACAAGGGCGCATATGAAACAGTTTTCTGCCTAGCACAACTTTGACACTGCGAGCATGGCTAAAACGTCCCTGTGACAGCTATCGCCGTAAGAAGTGCCATCGGTATTATTCGGTCAATTGACGCTGGGGCTAGGAGTTTGTGTCGTCAACCGTCTCTTTGAAGTCTATGCGATGCCTGTTGGCCAAATGCGTCAAGGTTTTTCGAGTTTTGGGCGACGGTTCAGGGGACAGTTTTTACGAGAGTGAAAAATAGTCAATTGTGGTGCAGGGCACGCAGGGTGGAGACGAGGTGGACTTAAAGCGTGCCAACGTCGTGGCCACCACGACGGTGACCGTGACGGACGGCCAGGACTTTGTGGCCACCTCGCGCTTCTTCACCCAGCCGGCGTCATTGGTGCCCAATGCTCCCCCACCACCGTGCCCAGTGCCTGCTGCAACTACGACGCCCCCTATTCGTACCAGAGGTGACTTTCATTTTGTTAATTTCCACTTTTTTTTTTGTATTGCCCATTGGTTAAGCTTTTTGGTTCCACTCACTTTCTCTTTTCTTCTTCTGATGTTAATTGACCTGACACTGTTTCAGTTTTGTACTGTCAGGAACAAATGAAATGCAGACAGGACATGTAGCCTTCAGTGCATCTACTTAGAGGCCCCTTGGAACTGCTGAGAAGTGGGTGGCTGCAAGGGTGTGCATTGCAGCCCATTAAGGATGCATACCCACGAACCTCCCTTTGTGCTTTGCAGATTCAGCAGTTTTTAGGGGCCTCTAGGTAGCAGTGTAATGAAAATAAGTGGTAAATGCATAGACCCTTGACAGGTCGTGCTATTGGCGGCATACACGGTGTAGTGTGGACTGTAAGTGCTAGATGGTACCAGAGGCGGCTCCTCTTTCTCTCCTTTCTCGGCTACTATTTATCCCCAAGGTGTGGAAGATCTACTTTTAGGTAGGGAGAGCCATAAGGGGACGCTTGTCTCTCGGATAGCAGTCGGCTAGCGAGCTGGATCTTCTGACGAAAGTAGAAACACGACCTGCCAGACAATCTGACCAAGAGCTGGCGTAACTACTATACAAGCCCTCCGTGAGGAGCATCGGCCACCACCTCAACTGGACGCTCGTGCATATGGTCCCACGAGCTGTTGTTGGCTCTGTGTGTTTCTTTTGGGCGGTGCTCTTTGTGGTTGGCCTAGATGAGGCACGACGCACGACCCACCAGGCTTGGCTGCTGTCTTGATTGTAACTCGTCTTACAACAAGTTGCGGTCCTAATGGCAGCGTGTATCGAAGGCCCCGCGCCATGTCGTTCGCGTTTCATTCATACCTGATAGTGCCATTTTTGTCTTCATCTCTCTTGCTGCTTACCTGGTAATCTGGATTACTTCAGCCTCTGCAGCACAGGATTAATAGACACTATTTCGCTTTCTTCTGCTTATTTCACACAAACCTCCACGCTTCCTAAAGCTCGTACAACAAATTTGGAAGAAAAGGTTCACCATTTTTGCATGCCTTTCGGCTGCCTCGGTACAGTGGGGCATAGAAGTAGACATCGGTGGTCTTCGTAGGCACAAATTTCTGGCAAGGCTGGTTGATATCTAGCCATTTCTGTACTGTGGTGTCACCCTAAGTCAAAGCGCAGACAAAGCCTAAAATAGTTCATACGAGCGTGGACACACGTACTAAAAGCACAAAATCACTGCACACTCACCTCAATAAATTGGTTTACTCAATGATAGCAGTTACTGAAAGGTGGCCAACACCATGACATTGCTCTTTCGGCAGTGTTTGATTGGCCTCGTCGGTTTGTAGTGTCGGCTGTGCTCTGATTTGAGGTGATACAACGTATGCCTTTATCTTACGAGAAAACATCCACGTCGAGCATTGTAGAAGAAACGAGCAATTAAAGGAGCGGTGCAACGATATTCAATTGTAATGTTTTTCACTCTACACGAGCTTACTGGCACACCTGGGACTCAAGGATACTCACACGCGTCACTGGCCAAGAAACTCCTTTGTTGCGGTGTAATTTCAAGGACAAAAGCAATCATTTTCATTCAATCTTTCCTTTGCAAAATTTGATGACGTAACGTGGGGATCGCAGTACACCCAAGTGACGATATTTGAATGTGGTTCATAGATTGGACCCGAGCATTGCGTGGGCACTAGACTTGGGCTCGTGATAATTGCTAGCTCGAGAAGCATTCAGGTAGCGACCAGTGTCCAATCGCTGCAACGACGACAACAGCCGAGCCATAACAATGTCTGGAACTCAGCGCTTGTCCAGTGCTTTGCCAACCCCAGCGCGTGGCTATGATCAATACTGGCGGCATATAATCGGCTCCAGATCACGTGGCCGCTTGTTCTGGCTGTAAGTTGAGGGGGTGAACGCTGCTCGTTTTTCTTAAAATTTTTTCTGGGACTTCTATTGCGTGGGGTGAAGAACGAACGCGTGTTTCATAGGTCATTAACGTTAGGGATTCGTTTTAAGTGGTATTTGCGCAAAGTACAAAAATTGTTGCATCGCTCCTTTAAACTGCTTTAATGCGTCCTGGCAAAGCGAATGCATTTGAACTGTTGTCTGCTTTCTTTTTTTCACTTTTCCATCGCTTTCTTTCTCATTCCTTCTCTCAGGACCATTGACATGGGCCATTTTCCTCACTTTGTCACTCCTGTCTTGACCCCCTTTGCACGCTTTCAGCTGACACGCCCTCCACGACTCCTGTAGACCAGCAGTGCTGCCTCGGGCCTTCGGGGGTCGCTCCCAGGCGTATCAACTCTGCGGGCAAGCTGCAGTCGCGGGTCCACGACTTTGTGTCCAAGACGGTGATCAGGCCTGAGATGTGCGGCCCCTGCTGCAAGCGCATCAAGTTCTACAAGACTGCTCTCAAGTGCATGCGCTGCCGCTCCACCTGCCACCCGGAGTGCAGGGATCAGGTGAGCAGGCGTTCCTTTGTTCGGCGGCTCTGTCGCCGTTGGGGCCGGTTCACACTTGCGGCGCAGGGCTGAGTTAGTGCAAAGTCATCGCTGCACCTGACACTAAATTAGTGCTTAATGTTGGGAGTTATATGCGTCGCTATCCATATAACTTCGGTCTTTGCAAAAGGCATATGCAACTGCTGTTAATATTCATATAACTTCAGTCTTCAACATATAGGGTGTCTAAAATACCCAGGCTCCCTCTAAAATGAACTGTAAAAATCGGTGCCTGCACGTAGCAATCTAAACTTTTAGTTAGCGGTATATTTCACAGGTCGTCTTTATCTTGTAAAATTGCAAAGCGTAGCTCCCTTTATGTAAAAAATAGGTCTACAAAACTTGTTGGAATCAACAGCGGGTAGTGACGCAGACGACGACAACAGTTGAGTGGCGAGGGGCGCGTTTGGCGCACATATTGATAGATGGTGTCGGGAGCAGCGTCAGAAAGTGTAACCGACCAGTGAAAGAAAGCGGACGCCACGCAGACAAAATCCGTCGGCAACAGAAGTGCCATCGTTATGCAACCACTTTTGTTTTTGTTTTACTTACTTTAGTTCTTATTGTGTGCACTTATTTTTAAACCAAAAGTGCATTACAAAAGATTAGTCGCCAACCGATTTTTTTGGATGTTGATAATTCGAACTCCTACGATATTTCGGACCTAAACGAGGAACCGTGACCTAGCCGATAGAAATAGTGAATATTCACGACAGATTTTTCGGGCAGCTTTACATTTAAAAGTTGGATTTTTCGGAAAAAATCGTCTCGAGCGATCAGTGGGAAACACTCCCATGGAGCCACCATTTTAGATTCTCTGTTGGCTGCACATGGATTGGCTTGGTTTGGCAGTGCTGCTTGAGTACTGCTAAGTCTTACCGCTAGGTGACTCTATGTTACGTCATTATCATCGTCATTTTTCCTATTTTGCTTTGTTCATTTGCCATTCTGCAGTCGTGGACTTGCACCTCTCATCTCGTCTTGGTGAATCGTGTTTTCGGACTACGCTGGCTTGGACGTCATGGCTCCTTCTGTTCTTACGGCGCCTCGAAGTGTCGCTAAGAAGCATTGAAAGTACTCGACCATAATGCTAGAAAAGAAGGCAGCGATTTTCAAGCTAATAGAAAGTGACCGAACTCAAGCGGAGGCGTAACCTAATGCGAGGCGCTATTGACGGCTTTTTTAAGCCCACTTAGACGTAACTAAGACAAATTTGGCTTGGCTTGGCTCGGTCGCTGCAATGATGGGAATAGCCGAACCCTAACAATGTCTATAGCTTGACACTTGCACCGTGCTTTGTGGGAGCCTTGTAGCGGGTTTCTTGTCGCAGCTTCCTCAGTTCCTCACAAGGGTCGTCTCCCCTCCCCCAGGTGCCCCTCCCGTGTGTCCAGGTGTCCCAGACGCCCACCCAGGGTGGCTCTCACACGTACAAGGGCACCGTGATTGCGGACCATGTGCCCCCATCGGCACCTATGGTGCCGGCCATCGTGGTGCACTGCATCCAGGAGGTGGAGCGCCGGGGCCTCTCGGAGGTGGGCCTCTACCGCGTGTCCGGCTCGGAGCGTGAGGTGCGGGAGATCCGGGAGCAGTTTCTGCGCGGCAAGGGGATCCCAAACCTGGTGAGGGTGACCCTCGTTTCAAGCGTGGTCATCACCGACTTTCGGCCGCGGTCATGTACGCCGTTCGTACGTCGTACAAAATGTACAAGCACATAAGAAGCCGCGAGACCTCTCTCGCCATTTGCCTTTTGGTGAAACGTTCTCACCAAATTTTTGCCAGATTGTGAACTCTCAAAAACGGGTCAGCGTTCTCTTGTCGGTTGATTACGCGCAAGCTGTGGCACCACGTCCAATCAGCATCCGAGAGCACTTTTGCGCTCGCCTTGACGGGAAACAAACTCCAGGGGCCCTTAATCTACATGGCAGGGCCAAGAGTGAGAGACATTGCCACCTGCTCCAATTGGTCAGCGGTGCGGCGCGGACCAATTGCGGCAGGCAATATATGTCCCAGTCGCTTGGTCCCGTTGTGTAGATTAAGGTTCCAGGCGTCCAAAAAAGACGTCCTGCCCTTCCCGTTCTGTCCGTGACTATAGCGAGTGTTGTTGCCAGGCTCACTTTTAGTTTAGCTAGGGATGAAACCTTCTGTATTTACCGGGAAAAGGATGAATACAGTTGCAAAATTGACATTTGTAAACTTCGCAAAAACTTGAGACTGGTCGAAACAAAATGAACATGCAAAGACCACATGTACCGTATTTACTCGAGTAATAGCCACACTGTTTGTGAAAAAAACCTGAGGGTTCGCTCTTCCGCGGAGCATGCGGCTTGCCTATCACCGCAATCAGCAGCATGATTCCAGCGGTTTACAGGGCAGAGATAATGTTTCCACACGAAGATGCCATCTGTGAAGATTGCATTCGTATGAAGAATCAAGGTCTCGATCTAGTTATTCGCTATGTTATTTTTGCACAATGAGATGATTGGCTAAATGTGTGTTCTGCGGAAAAGCAGACCCAAAGGCCTTGTTCATAAATAGTGCGGCTATTATGCGAGTAAATATGGTATACAAGACGGGCACAGACAAAGAAAGGCCTTTAGGTGTTGTTCGTTTTCATTGTGCATGTCAGTGTTGGATTTTGGGCAATATTAAAAATGTGCACGTCTCTTGGCTGTTATAACGTCAGTTATTTATCCATTGGGTCGCGTGTCTACCTGTTTCCTAGAAGTATTGGTAGTATCCTTGCACACTCTTCTTGAAGCTCCCATCGGGATGACGCGGCATTTGAGTGACGGGCATTCTTTTTCCTCCCCCAGTCAAAGGCAGACATCCATGCCATTTGCAGTGTGCTGAAGGATTTCCTGCGCTCCCTCCGCGAGACCCTCATTTGCAAGTCAGTCTGGAGGCAGTTCGTCAAGGCCGCGGGTGAGTGCCCAGTTTTTGATCCTCAGTTCTTTTACCTCGCCTACGCCTGTCCGAAGTTGTACAAATCACTAAAGTTTTCTTGCAAACTCCGGAGGAATATAGAGCCACAAAACACTCCATGGTTACCCCATTGCCTCATCTCTGAGGATCAGAAAGAGAACTGCTGAAAGGTGGGGGAGCAAGGGATCACTTGCAAATAAAATGTGGGTGATTGCATTTATGTAGTGTTGTGCGAATATTCCAATTTTCGAATAGTAGTTTCGAATATTACGCTATTCGATATTTGATTCGAGAGCAGTTGTAACATTCGTGCTTTTCGAAGTGTTGGCAACCTCGAGTTGCGTGTTTGTTTACTGTCTAAAACTACGTAAGAAACAATTTCTAAGATCAAAAATATACTCATACGTTCGGCAAAATGGTACAAATATTATGGTGGGAACTCTCAAATATATTCATTGTAGTCATTAAATCAACTTTGTTTAAAAAACGGGCAAAAGAAACCGATCAATGAGCTCAGCAATGCCTCCGCCATCTTTGCCAATTTCGGCGCCCTGTATTCCAGCAATTAACTCAAACACAAATTAATTAAGGTCTCATTTTCACAAACCAGCCCACTTAATAATTGCATGTCTGCAATAATTATCTTGCATGCCAATTTGCGGCAAAGATTTTTGAACGGCAAGTATTCGATGTTCGATTCGAAAATATTTGGCCAAAATCACTATTAGCTTCGAATTTGATTCGAAATCAAAATCCACTATTCGCACAACCCTACATTTATGTTTCAGCTAAAAAGAGAGCAGTTTGAGAGCATACTAGTTATAACTCGGACTTTCCCTCAGAGCCGTAGACACATTATGTCATAATATTTGTTTGTTGCAGACATTCGTTTAAATCTATCGTCGGTTAAACACTCTGCTGCAGAAACCTGCATAATAAATAAATTCGTTGCATGGTAACTTAGAAGGAGCATCCAACTAACAGTGCTCAAGTTTGGATACTACTGTGGTAAAGGGTTTCTATAACATGTCTGTTGCTGTAGGGCGATTTATTGCTCTCTGAGCTAGGTCAACGTTGCTCTTGTCTTCATAGCTTTTCAGATCGGCATTTAACCCCAGCACACAAACCCCATCAAATTTGGGGGCTTCCTTGGCAATCCTGTGACAAACTTTGGTGTCTCGATGGATCTCTTTCAACTAACAAGGGTCATTCGAGGGTTTTCTGTGAACTGCAAATAAAGGGCAGGCCAACATGCCTCTGCCCATCAGAAAATGTTAGCATTGCCCCATTATACAGTTTTCACTGCATTTTATGCACCATAATACCTATGCTTAAAAAAAATAATTGTAAGCCAACATTTGAGAGAAATCTTTCTGGTTGGGAAAACAATACATAAAGGACGACAACCAACCAAATCCTAGAAATAGGGACCCTGTTTCCAGCCTTCTCGGGTCTTCTTCAGGGGTGACTATGGTGATGGCCGTTGAGGAGTAGCATTTTTTTTATCTTCATTTGTCGATCTGGTAGAGCCCATTGACATAGACTGTTGGCAAAGCATTTACGTATGTTTCCTGGCGTTGTTTGAATGTTCCAGGATTCAATGAAATGTCTATGCCAGGGGCTAGTCCTTACATCAGGGATGCTGGTGTTGTTGAAAACAATCTGTGTGGGCGGGATGGGATGCTAAGCACACCAGTTGAGAGGCATTTTAGTTGTTAAAGCCACACTGGGGTGTCCCGTATGCAGAGATGGAACCCGGCAACAGAGTCTGGGCCACTTGGCAGGCAGTGACTCAGCTTCCACAGCCCAACCGGGACACCCTGGCAGCCTTGGTGCTTCACCTGCAGGCGGTGGCTGAGAGCCCCGAAGCCAAGATGCCCATCACGAACCTGGCGCGCGTCTTTGGGCCCACGGTCGTCGGGTTTTCTGTGCAAGACATTGATCTCGTGCCAAACATACACCTTGAGACTGAGAAGCAAGCTCAGGTGAGGAGGCCTACCCAGTTTTTTAAAGCATGAAATGCCTCCTCCCCATCCCAATCCTAATGATGCGATTGTAGCGCATTTGCGCCAAACTGCATCAAAGGGCCTACCCTGCTACCTCCTGCTACATTTAACCCAAATGTGAGGAACTTGCACCAATATTGCACCTTAACCCCTTAAAGGACAACTCCGCTCAATTCCGAAAAATTTAGGCTTACATGTGATTCAAATTTATAACGCACTACTAAACAACTCTGTTTTCGGATTTGCGAAATGTGGAATATTATTTGTGTAATCCTAATTTAAACATCAGCTGATACTGAAACTTCGGTTGCGTCAGGCAACATTGGTCTCGGGTCGTCAGAGTTATGGCCAAGTTACGTCGAACCACGTGGTCTTGTGACGTTCGGGAGGGAGCGAGGGACAGGACGCGCGACGCAGGCAGGTCGCTTCGCATGGCATGGCGTGGACGGTGATGGCCTGGGGGAGAGGGGGAAGGGGAGAAGACGAAAGAGTAAAGGGGGAGCGGAGAAACAGACCGATAAGCGCGCAGGGCAGCGCAAACTAGCGCATCCGCGTTACGGTGATCACATGGACGCCATTCAGCCAACACCGGGAGGAGGAACTCATGACGTCATCGTTCAATTTCGCTCTGAGAAGTAAAAACAAAAAAGTGACAATGACGTAGTCATGCCTCTGACGTAGTGGCTCAATGTTTGCAGCTCAAACTCCGTCGCATTGACTGCTCTGACGATTGCGCCTCGCGTCGCACGCTAGAGTTGGCAGATTTCGGCGACTTGGCTCACTTGAAGGTTAGCTGGTCAGTTTATTAAATATATAGATGGAATTAGATCGTAATATTTGACATGGGGTCTTCCTATATGATACTGAAGAGGGCCACATAGTTTTCTAAATATCAAAAATGAAGCGGAGTTGCCCTTTAAGTGCCACATTTTGTTTTCCAAAAGTAACCTAAAAGTGCCATATTTTTTTTTTATTTTGAATTTTTATTCCTCTAGTATTACATATATAATTTGAAAAGTTTATTGCAAAAAAATCAGCAGAGGCGAAAAAAATGTTTGCGAACGACCCTCGCTCGTCCGTGGAATTGAGGGCTACCGAAAAAATCACTGGACGAGCTGAGCTCGTCCATGGCATTTTTAGCGAAAAAATGGCCGACGAGCCCAGCTCGTCCAAGGCACTTAAGGGGTTAACTTGATTTCATTTTTTAAAGTGCAGCTCTTGGCGCTTGTTCCTGGATTGAGCAGCGGCGCCGTCGGCGTTTCCGTAACTGTGCGTTGCATTATGAGAAACATCTCATAATGCAACGCACAGGTCAAACTCATGACCCGTGCGTTGCATTATGGCACATTTCCCATAATGACTTCACATGTGACATCACAAGAGTTACGAGTGACGTCATGACGGCCACAAGGGATGTCATATTGCTACACACAGGTCACAAGGGTCCCCAGTGACGTCACTCGTGACCCGCACCTTGCATCATGGAACATTTCCCATAATGGCGTCGCACGTGACATCAGGAGGGTCACTCGTGAAGGTCATGACGAAGGTCACAACCTTCACAGTGAAAGTCTAACACTTCGTGTGACCTTCGTGAGTGACGCTCGCGACTTTTGTCGTGTTCTTTGCGAGTGATTCTCGTGACTTTTGTCGTGTCCTTCGTTAGTGGTGCTTGTGACGTTGCGGGGAGGGAGGAGAAGGAGGAGGAAGGGGGCATACCCTCCTCTTCATACCCTCCCCTCCTCCTCTTCAAGAGCTGCGCTGTAATTCAGCATTACTGGAAGTTTTAAATGTCCCATTTTTTTAATACTGAATATATAATGGCTCAGGTCAAGCTGCACGTCCTGTTTGTCATAATAGGCTCGTGCGAATTTTAGAAACTTTAGATTTTAGTCGCAAATAACATACTATCCATTTTGATCTCTCTTGCAGTACTCCAAATTTTTGCAATATATCTCTTATGTTCCTAGTCCTCCCTGGTCTGGAAGTTAGCTTTGAGTGCGCTTCTCACCACGCAGCGTGAAAAGCGCACTCAAGTACTGCACACTGCAGTACTTGTATACTGCAGTGGAGTGGCAACCGTGAAGTAAGCACTACAATTTTGCTTATCTTGCTTTGCTGCAGTGCATTCCAGTGCTAAAGGGAAAGCATTCCCCCAGAGCTGGACGTTAAACATGCAAGCGTCGTGTATATTAAAAGAAGGGACTTCGTGAGCGTTAATTTAGCAGCTCTTAGTTGCAGTAATTATTTCTGAATTAAACTGCGGCTAATATTTATGATAGACTGCGGTATTCTGGTGTATTTTTTTCAAATTTGGGATTTAGCGAGGGAACTGGCAAGAAAATTAATATGGACTGCTCTATAGGTTTATTTTTATTTGAACTTCATGTTTAGTTGTCACCTTTATATATGTTTTATCCATTTTAGGTGCAATCAGTAGAATAAATTAAAACTAAATTTAATGAAACAGTAGAAGGAAGCTTGGGAATAACCTTCACGACTTTGGCTGGATTGCTTTAAGAAGGTATACTTATCTTTCACATGCCGGTTTCTGTTATTATTATAAGATTCTACATAAAAAAATGTAATTGATTTTCATAATTTAGTGACAAAAGATTTTGTTTAAATTTGAAATAAGAAATTTTGTTTTATTACAACCTTTAGAACTTGAATGAAACAAATTTTTGTGCTCAAAATTATTCTAACAATATTTTTGTGGATTGGTTTACATTTTATTTTGTACCTAACATGACCATTCACAGCAGTTCATACTGTCCTTCATCGGTCAGCATGTTGTTGCCATGCCTAGTGCTTCTGCGTATGTGCAACTAAACAGCTAGTTGTGTGTTTGAGGAAATCAAATCTGCCATGTATAGAAGTGTGAAGGTAAACCATGCATGTTTTGTAGTTGAATAGGCCAACACACGAATCTTGACATATAATATTCACAGAGGTATGAATAAAAATGAAGCGTGTGCTTGTGCTCCAAAAGCACTTTTTGCTGCTCCAGAAGGTGCTACAAAATTGGGTCAATCGCATCACTGCAATCCCAAAAAGTTGACCGTCCGTCAATCCGTGCATTTTCTTTTATTATTAGCGGGGAAATTGCTGTCATGTGCCCTGAGGTCACGTTACTTGTATACCAATTTAGCGGGAAACCTTGTGTCACGTGACCTATAGTCCAATTCAGTTTCCCAGGTGCTTTTGGCAGAGAAATCAATATCACATGACCTACGGACCAAGTCAATTTCCCTGCCAAATTTATTAAGGAGTTGATTAAAATATAGGCTCTTCTTCACTCCTCGAAACGACTGTTTAATGGCTTCTACACAAATATAAACGATTGCTCCTTAAGCTGCCAATTTTTTCTATGCTACCAATGTCTGTGATACCCAGAAAGAAGTGCAGTTGGGTTTCCAGTTGCATCACTTGCCATGTGTTTTAGGAGGGGCAGGAAGTAGGAAGGAAGGAGAGGTAAAGGAAAGGTAAAAAAAAGAATATGAGAGATTCTCAACTTAATCAATCGAGCAATCTAATTTTTCTTTTGTCTCCACTCCTGCCACTCACTGGACCCACTTCATCTTGTTGTTTTTCTGTACATTTATATATTTTTTTCGTTTTACAAGGTAGGGCAGACTTGTACTAGAAAAGACCTACAGGTATTTGTTGAGAAAAAGGAATTGTAAGCATTGGTTTAGCGACAGCTACAGTATGTCATATTTTGCCTACGAGGCAAGCTAGGAATTTGTGCCTCCACGTCACCTTTGTTTGCCCATTGAACCGAACCTTGATCATTGGAGGCTGTCTACTAGGCCCTTGCTGACTTTTTTTTTATTTGCTGGCAAAGCTGGGGAAGCTAGTGCTGAAAAGATATGGAGTCCGTTTTTCTTTCGAATGCAATCATTTTTTAAAACTACTTTGTGGGGTTCAAGCCTTTGAAGGACAACACTCTTTAAGTCCCACGCAAGACATTTTATTTGGATCAGGCACGATGGGATGTGACCTGCAAACTGGAATTGTGCTGAAATGGCATTGTTTCTTATTGATGTATCGTTGATATGACAGTGTAATGTTAGCACCTCGTTAAAACTTCAGCTGCGAGCTCGCCCAATGCAATTCCCACCTGCAAGTTTTAATACGGTATTTTCTTTTAATGTGCACAACGAGAGAATTTTATTGATCTACCGTATTCCTTACACTCGCGTAATCCTCACACCCGTAATGTGAGCCACCAAAAATTGGATTTTCCGTTTCCTCGCGTAATCCTCGCACCCCCAAAACTGCAGCGGCGAAAGTCGCCTGCTCGCGAAACCCGCATAATGCACGCGCTCTCCATCGACCGCATTTTCCGGCGCCGTGCCGCTTTGTTTGGCCAGAGTCCTTTAATGCTCCAAGCACCCTAAGGCGCCCAGGCAGCCTAGCGCCATCTCTCAGACGCTAGTCACACTGTCATTGAGCCGGTTTTGCGTGCGCACAACTACACAGCGTTCGGGCAGCCCGCAGTCGCCGCGTCGCCTACTACGACCAGCGATGCTAGGACTGATTTGGACTGGGGTCGTTATCAGCAATGTAGGGAAGTTTTAACTCGGACTGTGTTTGCAAACAAATCTTGCTTTGTGTTGAACCCGTGGTTTCATTGTTAAGGTAAGTCCTGTATTAATAGTTCTCAAACCTTGTGGGTAGCTGCCAGCGCAAAGAACGCCAATTTGTAGCCGCTTCGTTTTCTTTCTTTTTTTTTTCCCGCATAATTCTCGCACCCCCAACTTTCCATTGATTTTCCGCAAAAATAAAGCGTGAGGATTATGCGAGTAAATACAGTCGTGAACGGCCACCCCACTAGGGAAGTTTCACAGAATACCTTGCAGTAAGTCTCTGAGAATACTGCGTGTCAGTATCTGTTTCCAATAGGTCTGTACGGAAGCACAAGCAACGGGTGCGTCTAATCTGGCGTTGGTTGCAAACCGTCTTTTCTTCCATTGGTCTCCTTCCAGGTGATGGAGAGCATTCTCAACGTACCTGCCGAGTACTGGAAGACGTACATGGATGTCGAAAGCGACGACGACCTCGGGACTCCCGAACTCAAACCCGGTACTGTGCAGTGCATTCCACTTGCAAGAATGCTGCACATTAGGGCTGTGCAATCGATAGATTAATCTATCAATTAATCTATTAATGTTTTAATCACGATTAATTTTTTTTTACCGGTTACTCGGTAATGCTGTAAACTACTTAATTTTCGCTAGGACCTAGTTTTCGCGATTTGCCTACAGTTACGAAAGAACACATTGGAATTTATTGAGATCCCACCTCGTCGCAAAAAGGAACCCGCAAATTATTCTAAAACTTCAGCATTGCCCTGAATGCGAAATATTGAGCCTGCGACAAATAAGTCTACAATATTTTAACGAACCAATATGAAATAAAAAGTAAACGGTTTCACCACGCGGACATGGACGAGAGCACCTGTATGAAGGGCAAACTTTAGGTCAAAATGTAGCCTAAACTAAACTGTAAGGGCAAGATTTGTAACTCCTGAGAAGTGCAGAATGTTGCACGTGTCCCGGCCACTTCAGCGCCACTCGAGCGTTCGTTTAGTGTAGCAGAGACTATTCTGTGAACAATCGAATGAGGTCGCTCTTGTTGGATATTATCAAACCTCTTTACCTCATGCAGCTGAAGTAATATGTGAGTGTGTGTGCCTTTGAACTCTTCTGAACTACACATCAAGGTTGATTCATAATAAAAATTGCAGATTCCACCCTTTACCTCATATTCAGCAAATGCAAGAACAGAAAACAAATATTAATTGTGACTTTTTAAAAATATTATGCATGGGAATTATTGAGACCGATTAATAGATTAATTAATTTATTAAAGGGTGGTGATTAATCAGGATAAAACTTTTGATCGACACCCAGCCCTACTGCTTGTACAGTGGAATCTTGTTAATTCAAACTAACATGCAGGTCCCGTCCTACGTGTTTCTAAGAAGGAAACTCCCGGTAATTCAAACTTCACATTATTCAAACAAACTTTTGGTACCCTCGGGTTCAAATTAACAAGATTCCTCTGTACTACTAAATGATTACAGCCCACGGGGGGCATAATCCAAGGTTACACTGCACGGGCGTGTAACCTTGGAACCGGTACACTGCTGACCGGTTTGTTCAGCGTCCCAGTCCACTTCTGCGTGGAAAGTGGTCCCGAAGTGGGAACAAACGGCGTCGCAAAAGTCCGAATGCCACCCTGTTGGATGTTGCGATCCCGGCAGTTGGCTGTACAAGTCCTGGAAAAGAGCTAGAGAGAATGCCAGTGTCGCCATCGTCGCGGCGTCCCAACTCCTCACTGCCGACGCTTCCGTGGACCGTCGAGCTGGCGAGCGACCCGCGGCAGAACGGGCGTCTGCTATCTACACCATCTCTGTGACGACACTGCCGGGATCGCAGAGGGCGACAACATGACTCTTCCGTGACGTTTTCCGCCAGGAATCAAGGAACCACTTTTGAGGACGCGGTAAATCTGCCGGTCGGAGACTCGTTTGGGCGCCATAGTTGAGGTGCCCGCAATTAGGCAGAGCCTCCTTGCAGAGAAGACGCTACGTCACTCATTTCACAGTACTCTATGTTTAAGAAGTTTTGGCGCACTGTTGCTTTAGCCCCCGACGCGCTTTTGAGAAATCCAACCTAATCCAGGTCCCGGAAGCGCCATTCTTGGCCCCGTCCATGGCTCCCTGGGGAAGAAGTCTGGACGCGCTCCTCAGAGGTATTGACGGGCCTGCCGGTCGCCCTTTTTGCTCGCTAGTATGGATAGCGCATAGAAGTGCCACGACCTGCACTTTTCCACCTTCCATATTGTAGTAGATGCAGCAACGTACTCAGTGGGGGTCTTTAGTAGCATTCATTTTAATAACATATTTTAATTATTATTTTTTTATTGGAGAAAATTGCTTGGACTAGACGCAAAGATGCATAAGTAGTTATCTTCGCCTTTTCATGCGTTTCCAGTGAGGAATCTACATGGAGGTAAATCCAGTAATTTCAAATTTGTCTTGTGCAAATAGTGGATTTTGAGTTCGAAGCAAATTCTAAGTGAATAGTGGTTTTGGCCGACTATTTTTGATTCGAATATCAAATAGTTTTTCCACGCCTTTACTACCATTGCATAAGGCTTAAACGAAAACCCAGCTAAGCTTGTGAATGTTGTTCCACTTGTTCATTTATAAGCCAAGTCTAATCTATATTTATGAACTGTGACCGCAGAAGGTTGGATGTCTTGGGGTGGCAAGTAAATGACTGATTTGACATAAAAATGAATGTTGGAGATGGCCAACAGTACCCAATAGACCCTTCCCGAAATTCAGTGTCATCTGGTGGCTCAAATGGCAATTTAACTTTTGTCGTACTGATGGCAGCAATGAAAATGTAGTCTGCCGTATTTGATTGGGTGCCGTCCTCGCAAGTAAACGGCAAACGACACTGTGCACTTCACTGTACATTTCCTTCTCGATCACTTTCAGTGTCGATAGAAACCAAGATGCAGCTAGTCAGAATGAAGCGTCAACCCTTGTACACCGCTTGATAAAGCTCTACAATTCAAGGGGCTCTAGAGCGCCTTAATGCTACCACCAGAGTGACTGGGCCCGAGCTAGAAATGAATGCTTACGCGGATCTTGCTTTCAACTCCTGCTTCGCATCTTGCTAACGTCAAGAATGTATAAGCCTAGAATTATCTGCTGAGGAGCATTTTCAACTTCATCCTAATGGCATATGTGCGGTACTAATGGCGGCCTTCACCGAAGGCTGCCATTAGTACCGCGCGTATGCCATTATAGATGATGATAGTGATCAAGTTGGCCAGACTGAATTTCGGAAAGAGTCTATTCAGTGAATTTACAAATCTTGCGATATAAAATATTTTCTTTAATATCGAGCTGACAAAAAAACAACCGCATCTCCACGTGGTAAATGATGTTGATTGGGGCGAAGCTCTGGTGGTGCTTGTCTGCGTAGATGGTGAGCTGCAGCATGACGTGCCTTTCGTTCGTTTTCATCCATGTCACGCTGCGGTCAAATGCTCAAATGCGTATATAACCACATTCCATACCACACATTCTCTTTCTGACATGGATGAAAACGAACGAAAGGCTCGGCATGCTGCGGCTCACCGTCTACGCAGACAAGCACACCAGAGCTTCGCCCCAATCAACATCATTCACCACGTGGAGATGCGGTTGTTTCTTTTGTTTTTTTTGCCCTACACGAGCACGGGAGCACATGCTCATGTGCTCGTGAGCGCGTGAGCTCACGAGCAGGAGCACAAGCCCCCGACGCCGGACATATGGACGGACATACGGACATGGCTAGCCCCTAAGAGAATGAATTCCACATGATGACTGCAGTTTGTAAGGGCATCTCTGCCTAACATAGTATACAGTTAAACCTCGATTTTACGAATCCTGATTTTGCGAATTTCCCAATTTAATGAACAAATTCGAATTCTCCGTGCAGCCTATGCGCGAGGTCTCCCTTCCTCGATTTTACGAAGTTCCCGATTTAACAAATTCTCGGTGCTCTCATTAAATTGAGGTTCAACTGTATACTCTTGCATAACAGTCAGTGTTTCCATTTATTTTCAAATACGGACGGCACGTGTGCTTTGAATGTATGCTTTTCTCCGAAGCCCGCAATTGCGATATTCATACTTTTCCAAGTGTTTATTGCGCGAGTTACCCCGTTGAGTGTGCTTCTTACCGAGCACCGATGTAATGTAGAGAAGCAACGCCCGTGTAGCTCGCTTCCGTGGTTATTGCTTCTCCGCTGTGCAGTGGTGCTCGGTAAGAAAAACATTTAACGGGGCTAATCCATTGCAATTAACACTTTGAAAAACGCGAATAGTGCAGTTCTTCTCAAAGTGAATATCGAGAGTGTATTATTCTAAACTTCTATTCAAAATTTCTAATATTCGCAGAACCGTGCAAATTATGGTTATATATGTATATATCAATGAGTTATCTTCGCCTTTTCATTCATTTCCAATGAGGAATCTTCATGGAGGTAAATCAAGTACCGTATTTACATGATTGTAAGTTGACCCCCACATATCACATCAGCAAAAAAAAAAAAAAAATCTTTAGAGGTGCACTTTACGGTGAACACATGAGAACTGTAGGGTATCTCTTTCAAAAGCCCAGCCTCCAGCTTGCGATAATGCCTTCTGGCGTGCTTTGGCTGCGCATGCATGTGTGAGGCGCATGAGATGCCCCAGCGTTGTCTAAACTAGGAAGCTCACACTGGAGGCGGGACAACTGAAGCTGCTCCCTGTCTTTCTCGCTCTGTCCGCGACTAGACTACGATTCATCTGCACTGGTGATGTCAGTCCCGCCGTCATAACTGCTACATTGTCGAAGCACAGGACATCGTTGTCCAATGAAATCTCGCACCTCGCAAATGACAGCGTCAACTGCTTGCTTGGTGATCGCATTGCACATCACGGGTAGGGACCGATTGCGCGCTTCTGCAATCGTACGTTGCGAGCCTGACCTCTAACTTCAGAAGGCATTCCCACTTTTCCAAGCTTTTGGCCTGCGGAAGCCTCTTCGTTTGCCGTCGGTTAAGATCCCGCGCCATTGCATACTCCACTGGAACACCACCCACTCCGACGGATCAAACTTTCATCCAGTAGCGCAGTTGTTTGTTGCTTCTGGATGAAGAATGGCCATAAACGAGCACCGAAAGCCTAAACTGCCCGGATCACGCGTGTCAATACAAAAAAACATAGTTGGCGCTCCAGCATGATCTCGACACTCGATCAAACGACCTGTGATTGTGAATCCTGTGAAAAACTGCGAAAAGAAGCCGCGGAGAATGAGGCGCGAGGCTGTTCCAGCGGCCATTCCCAAGTTTTCTTACAAGAAGTGCCGCCACCCCCGTGAGTCGGGCGTGCCGTGCGTTGTTCACCGCCGTACATGTGGGCTAATTTGTGAATTTGTATCAATACAAAAAAGAGGGGGAAAACAATGTGGGCCTATATTTGAATAAATATGGTAGTCAATGTAGTTCTCCTGCAGCTGTTGATTGAGTGGGCAGCAAACTTTGACTTTACTCCAGTTCCAATGCTGCTAAAGAGCAGTGCCACCGTTAAAGTGCAAGTGTAGGCTTTAATAATATTCCTGGGTCATGGTTTTTTTGCAGTTTATAATATTAGTGTCTTGAATTTGGTAGGTTCATGAAACTTAGGGGAACCATTTTTATTGATAGACATGTAAGCAGATACCTATGCTGGTTTTTGCTGGCATTTTACAAAAATTATATTTACAGGCTAAATAAACTACCGGGTGCAAAAGTGGGAGGGGCCCAACTAAAGTGTTGTGCTGATTAATTGTTTATATGTTTTTTAGCACCCATTGTAAATGGTAACTATGCTTTGACAAAGCCTCATTTTTAAAAACGAAGGCTTGTGTTTCTTTTGCATCCTCTCATTAAAAAATGTAACAAGTAATATGCTCCTGTACCAAAGAGGAAACCTCAATCATTATTAAAGACGGGCTCATTTAGCCATGCAATCACCTTTTTCATTTTCAAGTGATGTGCTTACTGGTGTTGGCATCTGCTCCAAAAGTGTCAGTGGCTGCTCCAAATCTATTTGGCCTGCTGCAGAACCTGCTACAAAATGACAAATTCTACTTTCATCAATGCTATGAGCCCCTGCTGGAGGCAGAGCTACTGGTTCTTAAACTGTCACTGACGATAGAGAAACGGAAAAATATAAAAAGATGAATATCTGTAATTTGTTCCTTGTGGTTAAGGCAGGTCATTCTTTGGTTAACTTGGAATTTCTTTTTAGTTTAATGTGTGGCACTTTAAAGTTCTCAGTTTTCTGCTGTCTGTGCCAACTTGTGTGTGTGTGTGAAAGCTTGTCTTTTCTCCTTGTCTCCTGTGCTCAAGATTTACACCGGCTAGTCGCTCAAAGATTTCTCTTAGCGCTGGTGCCACTAATCCCAGGAGCCTGCCAAAAGGGTTAGTGTCCTCTCGGTTGGAATGCACACTACATGCACGGGAACTGGTGGTGGGAATTGGACAGGCGTGAATGTCGGGAGCTGAAACGTGTATTCCAGGGTGTCAAAGAATCTAAAAAACCGTAGGGTGATTTGGCCAAAACATTGGACGCAAGGGGAATTCGGAAAAAACATTATGCTTTCTGGACCTGTGTTTCAAAGGCAAAAACAGCTTTTTTTTTGTATACCTATGGATCTGTAACAATAAAGGCTCCAAATCCAAATCCTATTGTGGCTGTGGTACGAGTTGCAGGCGGTGGTTGTCCTCAGACTTGCTCTGTCACCGGTACTCCGTCACTAGCAGGCACATTTTCCTCAAAATTGGACGAGCAGTCTTACCAAACAGACCTGGAAAAGCTGAAAAGTTTGGAAATGCAGTTGCGATAGGCACCCTGCGATTCGGAGCGCGGTATAGCATTTTCAGTGTTTGGATCGAGTCGTGCTGTGAAAAGTACTTTTAATACTTTCTAGTTTGCTTAGGCCAGGTTAGTACTCGGTATGCATGGGGAAATTAAAGTTGTTGCTGTTTGTTATTCACTTCTATCTGAATACTGTAAAACCCTTAATGTATGAGAGGCCTTAATTTTCACGTATTGAAAAATTTTCTAAATTTGAGGGCACGCAATAATTTTGATTTTTAAGAGTTTCAATGGAGGCGTCTGGAATTCAAGAAATTTAGCGGCTGCGATTATCTCCTCTTCAGCCGATTCGTGAAAAATAGGCGCCGCACAGTAACTTTGTTTAAATGTGTACAGGTCTTCAGCACTAAATAGCAGCAGCACTCAGAGTGCTGGTTTCGCCAAAGGGGGTCCTTGTGAAAAACAAATGGCCTTACTATTACGTGTCACTTGTACGCAGCACTTTGCGTATGCAAAGTGCTGCGCACTTTGCATACGCAAAGTGCGCAGCATACGCAAAGTGCGCACTTGTATGCACTTTGCAGTAAACTTTCGTTAGTTCGACCTCGACGGGACCTTGAAATTTGGTCGAATTATCCGAATTGAATTAAAAAAAAGGACAAAAAACGATTAAAGGGCAACTCCGCTTCATTTTTGGTTTTGAAAAAAACAATGCAGTCCTCTTCAGTATCGCCTAGGAAGACCACACGTGAAATGTTACGACGCAGTTCTGTCTAAATGTTTCTTAAACGGTCCGGCAAACTTTGCAACTCGCCAAGTTGCCGAAATCGGCTGACTTGAGCGGGCGAATTCAGACGCAACCAACAGCGCAGTCAAGGCTACGGCATGGGCGGAGCCAACATTGAGCTAAACGTCATTATCATAGCCCCCTTTTGCTTCTTTTCACTTCACCGGGCGAGCGTAGCGCATGACGTCAGCAACGTTGCCTCGGCGCTCAGCGGTGTCCACGTGATTGGCGTAACGCGCCTGCGCAGCGCGTTTCTTGGGAGCCGTCCGGCCGCCCGCCGTGGTCCCGCCGTTACCGCCGTCTTCCGCGTCACAACCGCCGTCATCGTCTCACCGATTGTGATTATTGTCTCTCGAAGTTTCGTCCACACTACGGACACCACATGCGCAGACTTATGCCGCAGTTGTGCAGATGTCGTCGAATGCCGTAGACACCAAAACGTGGCGAAGAGTGCGGTGCAGACGACACTCGCGCCTGCCACACGCCCGCCAAAATCCCGCCAAAATCCCGCCCGTCGTTGGGCCGAGGATCACGTGACATCTCGTACCACGTGATGGCCATGTACTCGGCGACCCGAGGCCAATGTTGCCGGGCGGAGCCGAAGTTTCGATTTCCGCTCGTGTTTAAAATTATATTTAAAAATATATATCTCAATTTTCGCGAAGCAAACGACGTAGTGTGTTTTACTAGGGCTTTTTAATTCGAAATCAATCATTATCCCGAAATCTTCGGAATTGAGTGGAGTTGCCCTTTAAAATTAAACTTACTTTTATTGTCTAAAGTACTCACAGATAGTCTAATTCCGTTTGCGCTTAAAACGCGCGTCCAAAGGCATGCATCGGAGAGCAGGGTAACTAAACATCACGTCCCCGAAAAATCGCGCACTAAAAAAAAAAAAGTAAATATTGCGAGCCGATTTTGCCGCCGGGCCAAAGTCGGCTCGGTGACAAAAAAAAAAGGAAAAGGCCCGTGTTTCGCCGTACGTTGGTGGGTTTCTGCCGTGGTGCCGTGTAATGTGAACCCGCGCGCATTCGCTTAGGACGAATTATCCGATGCGGAATCTTCCCGAGGTTCAAACCATCGAACCTTTCCTCCCATAGAAATGCATGGGCGCTCGCCGGGGCTTTTGAACACGATCGAATTAAACGAAAAGTCGAATTAACCGAGGTAGAATTAGTGGAAAAGAGTACCGTATATGTAAAATTGATGACCGGACAAACGCCCATCCCCCCTTTTTTTTTTTTTTTTTTTTTTTGCGCGATTATCCTAAGTTTGAGTGGGCGCTTGCCCGGTGTTTTACAGTACTTCTGTGGAACATATTCACTACACTCGGGTGTTTTGACAATTCCATTAGCATGAAGCGATTGTGCTGCATTGTGCTAGGGGAAATTAAGGCAGTATCACAGCCCTCATTAAAGTGCCGAGTTTTTTTTAGACTGCTGTAAGTATTTACATGCACGTTCATTGTGGAAAAGCTGTCATTTTTCTTGAAAGGAAGTGGAGGTGCGGTGCATAATGCTAAGACATTGTTAAACTTGCTTCAAAACAAAATATTTTTCTTTTAATTCAGGCACTCCATGGGATCACGAAGGATCTTTTTTACATCGCCAGCCCTGAAGTAACCAAGGCTGTGGGACACAGCCTGCTATTGTGTGATTGACAGTGTGCTTTTTTTTAGCATCTTAATAAAGCCTATGGAACATGTGTCAGTGACTTCAGAGTTTGTCGCGGGTTCTGGTTTGGAGTTGCTTCACATTTTAGAGCGCAGCTCTTAGGCGCCCGTTTCCGGCTTGAGCGGCGTCGCCGTTGGCGTAACCAAGGTCAACCCAAGGTCACGTGACCCCCCGATGACGTCATCGTCACTGATGACGTTACCGGCATCCGCATCGTCATCATCACTGATGACGTCACTGGCGTTACAGGGAGTTGTAAACGGCTTTCACTTTTTTTTTTTTCATTTATAATTTACGACGAGAGAAGTGAAATAAACCTTTGCTAAATTACCTACAAAGCATCAAGGATAATGCAGGGAATGTAGGTCTATGCGTCGCTTGTGCTCGCGTCCGCAGCAGTAACTGTTCTCAAGCAAAAGCCTAAAATGAATGGCATCTTGCACGCCCATTCGTAAGCACCTTATTTGGCTATTACCTGTATTCCCAGCATTCTCTTGTGTGTTTGGGTCATTTAGAAACGGGTCTACTGGCGACGTGCACGAACAAAAGCGTCGCTGACGGCCTCCCAGGATTGGTCAAACGCTCACTCGATTCTACTTCAGCTATTGAAAAGATGAAGGATGTCAGACCGTCCACTACGACGGTGTTGGTTTAGGGACGTGCTGCCCACAAGCTTCTCAAAATTGTCTTGATGTCATCCATAGGAGCCATAAGGAGGCCAGTGAAACATCTTGTCCCCAGGAGACAGTCACTTTAGGGGTATTCACTGGACTTCATATTTGAATTATTGTTCGCAGGGCATCTTTGGTAATCTTGATGTGGAATGCACATTGCAAAACCACTGTAGAAGCATGCCGTCGGAACTTGCTAAGGAGCTAGTACGCACTCGGCTATGGCCGCCAATGAATACGCCACACTACTCGGTGAACTGTATTTGAAACATTTGCTATTGGCGAGGACATCAAACTATAGGGGCGCAGTTTAATTATCATCATCCTCACCACAAACAATCTGTGTGGCAAACAGCTCCAACGGCAGCACATGCCTATAGCGTACGCCGCATTATCACTGCTTTCGCTGCATATTTGTAGCGATATGGTGCGCTTTTCCTGCGTACCACAGTGCTCGAAGCATTCCTTTGAACCGGGTATATGCGGCGGGGAAGACTGCAGGACGTACGCGACGATGCGGACACTCCGCCGTCGGCTCTGGTACAGCGCTGCACTTGATGACATGATCGCAATTGAGCGAGCTAGTCCTTTCTAATGAGAACTGCTTGGACGCCGCGCTGGCCATGCACAATCCAGCGCACGCGGCCGACACGACGCAGCTGGCCCGGCACGCCCGTGCGTGACCACAGATGCCCAAGAGGACTTCGATGGCATTGAATGCAAAAGGGGACTAGATTACTTCTATCATAGCCTTCTCTGTACTCACAAAGCCATAGAGTGCCTGGTCGCAGATTTGGAGCGCAAGGATCTGGTAGCACAGAGCATCAAAGAGCCATTTCTTAGGGAACTTGGACATCAGCGCACAGCTTTTGCAGCGGCGAGGACCCGAAACACGCTTGTTCGCTCTGGAGAAGTGTGTTTCGGCGTCTTGCCGCAGCGGGGTGCCAGTCACGTAGCTCTCCTCATCCGTTGTCTGCAGCTCCATCTTTTCCATTTCGGCGGCCGCTTCTCGTGGCGATCTGCCAGGCTTTGTTAGTATATAGGAGGCTATGCTTCTATCTATACTTCGTTTCAGCTTAAGTCCAGACGCAGTCGACGCTACGTACGCAAGCATGTGGCCCTGAACAGTGCTTGCACTGCACGAGCGCGCGTGCTTGGCAGGAGGAACGCTGAAAGCCCGGAGCTCGCGTTTGTAGCATCTGTTGAATCTGGACTTGCGCACCTCAGAGCCCCATAGAGAATACATGAGGTTTTTCACCAAATTAAAAGAATTCTCACATAATAAAGGCTGCGCGGATCTTCTTGAAAATTTCGGCTTTAAAAACATTGAGTCATCATCGAGACACTAAGCGCAACAAATGTTTCATCATAAATTTAATTATATTCTTTAAAAAATCATGAAAATGGTCAAAATTGGCTAATTCGGCACTCTTGCGTTCGGAGCGAATTTACAAAATTATATAAATTCAAACATAAGAGGTATTGCGCTTAGTGTCTTCTAAATTTATTACGGAATTGAATAATCAAATTATTCATGTAAGTTGATTTGTTCCGTAACTACAGCAAATATAAAGAACCAAGGTGTCGGTGCTTGTTTTCGTCGTTTTTAAGGTACCTCTCTCTCCCGTGCGGTGGCGCTCGCTGTCCACGAAATGCGAAATCGTCCGTTCGGAGATCGGCCGGATCGGCACTGTGCGAGGTGTTCTTCCGCGGCCGTCCGCGCCCGTATCCTGTTTCATTCTGCACGCCGAGGCGTCAGTGTGCGTGTCTCGCTTTTCTGGTTCTCGCTGGGTAGGTCTCCGTGTTTTCGCAAGTGGCAAATTCACCTTGGAGCTATGGGTCGAAGACAACCGTCCTGTGGCAAGCGGACCGCGAGGTGTTCCACAACCTCGCGGTCCGTCAACGCGTTGTGCTTGTTTCTACTTTTTTTTTTTCTTTTAAAAACTGGCTTTTTTTTTTGACGCAAAGTTTTATTTTATCGTTATCCTTCACACAAACGTCCTTCGGCCTTGGGGTCGTGGAAATCGGGGATGAAGCGTGCACAGAGTAGATCGTTGTTTTCCTCCTTTTTATTTTTCACGGACGTCCTGTGACCTCCGTACGGTTCGTGGTCACCGCAATCTAACGCGGGGAAAAACGGGTCGCCTGCTCTGTAGTCAGGGTATTCCTAGGGGAGGGTGATAACTCGCTGTTCTTCTGGAAATTCGCATATCACCCAAAAAGGTGACATGGGGAATGATTACGGTATGTTTTTTCCGGTGTTTATTTTTGAGCGAAAATCGGTGCATGTTTTTCGGTGCTTATTTTTTAATCACCAGTGTATTATGGGTTGAACGTCTTGTGATGACGCTAAAAAGCGTTGATAACCAAAGAAAAATGCGATTGGACAAGAACATTTCAAATTTCCAATTCTATTCACATATCCATTACGCTCTTCTCGTGGGAGCATCTATCCTGACGAAAAATGCCTAAGTCATTGAGCTGTGAACGCATACTCAGTGTACAATCTTTCGGCCTAGAGAGGTATTGCGCAAGCTCGAACGCGCTTTACAGCCCAGTAGACGAAGTTGGTGGCACCCAGAAGGCGAGTTTTTGAATGGTCTGTAGTAGGCAAAAGAAACAAATAACAATCAACGCATATCAGCTCTTCAAGCGAAGAGGCGCGTTTCTAAGGTCAATGGTTCCGGACGGCACTAATGTTGTTGGCGTTGTCGTAATGTGACGTCAGTTCATACGAACTGACGTCATCTTACGTGATCACGTGACACAAACACGTCATCTTACATGATCTCGTTACACGAAATGACGTGATCTTACGTGATCACGCTGCACGAAATGACGCCATCTTACGTGACCACGTAACGCGTCATCTTGTAAGTCAACCTCTCCCCACAGCAGCGCGCTCCGCGCTTTCCGGGCCCGTGCAGTGCTGTAGTCGAAAGCAAGCTCCCTATGGCAAGCGAAAGCTTCTGAAATTTCACAATGAGAATACTCGCAAGCGACCGTCTGTGGAAGCTTCGCACGTTGAGGTTTTTGTTGAAATCGAGCCATCGTGTTCCAGTAACTATAGTTGAAGTTATCGTTCAATAAAGCCCTAAAAAATATGAATGTAGTTGGTATAGACATCAAGATCTAATCAAAAATGCGGTTTGACGTCGTTTAATTAACGTGTATATAGAAGTGTAGAAAAAAATGAGTTATTTGTGCATAGATGTTTAAAAAAGTGTTTATTATTCGACACAGGACTTTGGGAGAAGGATGTGTTCAGATTTTTCTTCATGAGCGCAAATATACCTGACGCAATAAATAGTGACGATTTCATCGTCCCAGTGGTGAGCAGGTGATTTCTTGCTCGAAACAATGATGCCATTTCATAAACCAAGTTCTGTGACATATGCTTTTCCAATGCCTGGTCACTATTTTGTAAACCTTTCAGTCCAAACGAGTATACTTCTGTTTGTTTTTGTTAGCTTAGGAGGGGGTCACAGAGCCTATCTTTTTGTCTTCCTCTAGGACAGACGTACAGAGTTATACCGCAACACGCATCTGTGGAGCACACAGAGCTATCGCTCTCCTGTTGGCGGTACAGTAGCAGACGACACAACGCAGCTCCGTAGTCTATCGAGGGCACTGCTAGCCGCGGCCCGTAGCGCGACCGTTCAGACTAGGGAAATGGTTTTGAAGAACCGAGAAATGGTATCTTGTGTACAATAATCACATGTCGTTAGTATACTAGTGTTCTACTTGCTAAGCCAAATAAATATTTGCAGCTTGTGAGAATATATTTGCGTGACGATTTACCGTTCACACTCCTGACGGATGTTAGCGAATCCTTCATGTTCGTGGCTCGCAGTTATCGGTACCCCCTCGGAGTGACTTCACCATATATATTTTTTTCTTGCTTGCAGGACATCATAAAAATCACAAACACGCGAGAAAAAAAAATCTTACGAGTACGCGTGATTTTGAGCTTCGCAGCTCTAAAGATGCCCGGTAAATGTCGTCCAGCTTGGGAAGAAACTAATCCTTTTTGTTGGAGTTTGACTATCGTATGCTGGCAGCTCGTTTACGGTCTGTTTTGTCTATACTCCGTTTCACCGTAATTTGGCAACCCTCAGTCAGAGCTGCTGTGAGGGAATCACAGTCGCGGAGCAAAGCACGTGACAGCTACTTTTAGGAGCTGTACTATGGCACCTGCAGCGCGTCTCCGACTGGTCTTATGCTGGCCATACATCAAAAGTGGTCCCGAAGTGCAGCAAATGACATCACAGAAGACGGAGTGTCACGCTGTTGCATCTCGCGATCCTGGCAATTCATCGTAGAAATGCTGGCGAAAACCACGAGGGAACACGAGTGTCGCTG